GATTTGTCTTAGCCTACAAGGACTTGGATGTCATACTGGTAAGGGTTATCTAATGTTGTTAGTGATCCACTGAGATTTTGAACTTTAAATCTCTTTTAGATGGGACCCTTCGGCAACACGGTTTTGCTCAGCAACAGTACGCGAGATATGCAGCAGGTGTTGCTAGCAGGTGGACCTTATCCAGCTGGATCTCTGGTGGCCAATTTGGAGCTGTGTGCTAGACGCAGTGGCTCAACCCTACCTGCAGTGGGTCAACTTACCTTAGAACATCTGGCTCCGCTGCAGGCTTTCGTGCGCGCCAACAGCTGTGTGGGCGTAGCTGAGCACTGGTTGTTCTATGCAGTGGTTAATGTACCAGCTGGTGGTGCCATGCGAGTCGAATCGCCTAGCGAACTACTGGGACCCTCCATCAAGGGATTCCTTATGCACCGACGACTTAAGCAGACTAGAAGCACATCAGCAGCCACAAGGATATATTGGCAACCAGGATACTTTCTCCTAAAGTTCGTAACACACTGCTATTAAAGGAATTCATTTAAATAAGTGTACATTTTTTAGAGCTGGCGTATTGTATATGTTCAACGATTCCACCCAGAGGCTTCCCAGCTGGGCCATGGCCCTTGCCGAGTGCCAAGGCGCCCAGCGAACTGTGAAATCGGAGCGCCCGCACTGCTTCGAGATAATGCTGAAGGGTGAGCTCCTTCAAATGGCTGCGCCCGACGAGTATGTGGCCTCCGAGTGGCTACAGGCCCTCCTGCAATCGGCCAGTGGTGTACGTATGCAATTAGTAACAAAAGTAGAGTTTTTAAAAACTTTTTGTGGCCTTCAGCTTGTAGTTCAAGAGCAGAAGCACAAAACCCTCGGTTGCACTTTGATCGTTACGGAAAACCATTTGATAACCTTGCGAGAAGACTTTACGGCGCCTCTACGGCAAATAAGCCAGCAGTTGGATAATATTGCAACCGTTCCGGAGAACAAGGAAATCGTTCTCGAGGAGGAAATGCTCAGTGTTTTTGAAACCAGCAGCTTGGTAAGCGTGATAATTTTATTTTATTTAGTTTAAAAAACTCTATACAGTGACCAACTTAAGTACAAACATTTTTTTAACATTTAATTAATAATTTCAATTTTAGATGGGCTCCACAATCAGTACACCAACCCGTAGCACTCTACAATCGAACTCCTCTCTTAGCTCCACGCCCACCAAGCAAACAAACGAGCCTGCTGCTTCTAGGGAGGATGCTGCTTCACCCAAAAAGTCGCAACGAATGACAAGTGTTTACGGAAAGAACTCCGGCTTGGCGATACTCACGTGTGCGGACATAAAAGCCATGACAGGCATTAAGATAACCTCACGGAGTGAAACTTGGTGGTGCATACTGGAGTTCTCCTGCCAAGAGGCCCCCTTAGAAAGTCTGGACGATTTGGTGATCTTCTTTGCCAGCAGCATGGAAATGCAACGTTTCCTGCGGTTGTTAGAGCAACTTTGGCAGTCTAAGAATGTAGGTTGCTCACTCATTTCCAGCCCATCCCTCCGAAATAATGCATGCTATTGCTTTTACAGAACGATCTATTTCCAATAACCATACTAGACGATGGCGACTCTCTGGCCGAGCAGTGTAACCAACTCTATATGGACACTAATAGGGCCTGGGAGCCTCTGTTATCAGCTGCGCTGGGTTAAAGTGGCTATAGCACCTATATACTCCATTTACAAATAGAAAATTATATTTCCATATAACTCAAGCGTTAAATATTCTATCCTGAATACTCAAAATAGCTAAAGAACAGAAAGTATTGATATATATATAGTCGGTATTATGTATTATGATTTTGTAATGCCTGCCTCCGCTTGACTCATTCATTCATTTGCGCTTAGTAACAACTCATTTGAATAATTTTTGTGATATTAACCTTAAAATCGCTGATCTTTACATACATTATTTGTAGGTTATTTAGTTTCTACTTTTTTTCTACATTCTTTATTTCTTACCTTTTTTAAATACATTGTGTACAAATATTGCACAGAAAAATAAGGACAAAATAGTATACATTCGTAATCTAACTAATATAAATATTGAACATGTAATCGGTAATGTTATGTTTTGGGAGTGCTCTACTGGTCCAAGGATCATATCTATATTAATATACATATTGATATACGATACCAATATATGGCTATTTATAAAATAAACAGAACATAAACATTTATAAATGTGTATAGGGAAAGGTGGAATTAATTTTTTTTGCAATGCTGTGCCTGTATTTTTTAATTAGCACAGATTAAATTCTCCTCCGTAAGCCTTTCAGCCCACTAAAAGCCCATGATAATTAATAAAATGAATAAACGCCATTAAGCAACGGATTTTTATTTTAACCTAAGCTCATTGAGAGATGGTTCTTGACCTTTTCAATTATTGCAAGTGATGATAGGGTTTATCTTGGTCGCTTAGGAAAGGGTTCTAAGACGGGAACTAGCTGAAAAGATATGGAGGAGTACGGGATTTCCATGATTATAATGGATGTGAGCGAGTGTGATGGGAATGGGTTCTTGGGAGGATGCTGAATAGGGAAACGAGTTACGTACATGCAGACATAATAACATTAACATACATAGATACTTATGTACATACATACATACAAATGTATCTGCAGGTACATTGTGCCCATATGTGAGTGTATCTAAATATTTGATAGTGGCGGTGATCGAGTTGTACGAGCGAGATCCGATATTTAACATATTCCCTTCATCGCCCGGCAATAATTCATAATTTGAAAATGTGCATATAAAATTCTAGATAAACACATGTAACAGTTGCAATTGTTCGAAAATCAAGCTAAACAAAGCATTGCATTCAAAGGTTCAAGCGCGGCAGAAAGAGAAGGCGAGAGAGAGCAAAAGAGAGAGAGAGAGAGAGAGACGAAGCAAGGAGAATGTGAGAGAACGTAAAAAAAACTCCAACCCTCTTAATAAAACGAGTAGAAGACAAGACTGCACAGGAAAAAACAAGAATGAGAAAGACATACAGACATGCACACACTGGCATTTATGCAAGTGCACGTGTATGTGTGCATTAACACATAAAAATTAAGTTGCAGTCGCACCGACTTGTCAGTGCCCTCCACATGATTAAAGTGAGTATAAAAAAAAATTGAATCTTATTATCGTATTCAAATTCTATTTTTCGATTATTTATTGTATTTTTTTTATTATTTAAAAATATTTATTAAAGTTATTAAAAGTTTTATTTCATAATTATTTTTGGTAATATATAAATTTTAGTGTACAAATATAGAATTATTTTTTAAATGGATATCTGTCTTTAATAAGCGCAAGAAGTACACAAAGTTTAAGTAGATCAGTGTCTTAAAAATGGGTCGAAAATCTTAGGAGGCGTTATTGTACCGATCTCGAACCCTTTGCTGTGGGTCTGGAAAATATAAAAAACACTTGCGAACCGAAGGGGGGAGAACAAAAGCAGAGTCAGAAACAGAACTTGTCGTAGTGCAGCTGAGCCACGGCCTGCTTTCTTTTGCTGCTGGACTCACTTTCATTAATACAACATACAATACAGCAGAAGCAGAATTGAATGCAACGAGAGCAATGCGCCCGAGAACGCTCTCGCTCTCTCCCTCTCCTCACCTTCTCCGTGGGCAAACAGATCCAAATACATGCACACAAGCATATACCCAACCAAAGATACTTGAAAACACACGGTACATACGCCAGCACATACGGACATTCACATGTAAACGTATAAGTGCACAGCAATACCACACAACCCCAAAAAGTAGGAAAACCAAATAAAAATACAAGGCGCATTGTATGTGCGTTTTTCTTGTGGACAGTAAGCACCGATCTGTGAATGCCCTACCAGCAAGCTAATGGGCCATATTGACAGTTACTTTATACATTTCTTAAATACACGTTTAGTCTTGAAAATTTTAAAATATGTTTTTCAAAATTTCTATTAACTTACTTTCTTCAAAAAACGTTACTGTCCCTACTGAACATTGCCTCATTTGAACCATTTCAGGGCAACTAAAAATGTTAAAAAAATACAATTGTACAATGAAAATAATTTGATATCTTATTATTAAAAAAATGCAATCTTTATGGCCTTATTGGTTTGGGCTTAATACCAATACCACATATTCGAAAAGTCATCCTGCTTGGCGTTGTCATTTCAGTTGTTGTTGCCCCGACGGCGGTCACAAAAAGTAGCTCATCTCTCGCTGGAAACCAGTTTTTATGCTTTGCTCCCAACCGGTTTTCATCCTGATAACTTACAGCGAATTTCGTGTCTCGCTGCGTGTCTGGCTGTGAGGCTCGGTCTCAGTCCCAGCATAAATTGCACTTCGCCTGCACGGATCGCGCATAAACGTTCTGCCCACCAATCTGGCCAACTAACCAAGCCAATCTCGGGAGCAGGCAGCAGGGGCCTGGGGCCAGTGTCATATGCCCGGCGCTCAATGCAGCGAAATGTAAGGAACGTACAACGTACAAATAAACGCGCATTTTCCAGAGAAGTAGAAAAACTTCCACCCTCAAAGCGGCACACAGGCGCACATACAGTACAGACAATCGTACAAACACACAGCGAACTAATACAAACATGTAAGAATGCTGCAGTGCTGCAGTTGGAAGGAATGCGACTATCTGCTTACCCAGTAGATGCGGGATATCAGCTTAGTTTTCTTGACTCTATATTTCAACAAATCGGAATATCTGAAAAATCTATAATCTAAAAGTCAAAAGTCTTTAACAATGCATGGTTTTAGTTATGGGCATAGATCGCACATCTCTAAAATGTTTGTATTCTTATTATTTATTGAAATAAAAAATTTTAACAAAATATAAATTAAATTTTTGTTTAGACCAGATTTTTTATTTATAGAGAACTTAAAAATACATTCTTCCCACCAACTAAAGATACACTTTTGAATTTAAGTTTAACGGTTTATATTCACTTTTAGTAAGAAATAAGTTACAAACTGAACTGCCATTTAAATTAAACAGGAGATATAGTTAAACAAGAAGATAAACCCCAACTTAAAAACTATCGTGAAGAGTGGACGACACACAACAGTCCAACCGATATACCCTGCATTGCCCCTGGGCACTGTCACTGTCATTTGCGTCGCAGCGCTGCCGCCGTCCGCGTCCGCGTCGTTTTGCCTGGCCCAGTGTTTCCGCTTTCTTTCGCCTCGTTGTAATGTTACTTTTAGTTTGAATTCGGAGCCTCTACGAGCCGGTCGTAAGCGAAACCGTAGAAACCGTAAGCGAGACTTTAGTGCGATTTCGCTCCGTTCCGCCGGGGTGTGTGTGCGTGCTGCGTTGCGAGTTTAGTTCGAGAATCATCAGAATCCAGCGGCGAGAATCGAGAATCGAAACCGAAAGTGGTTCTCCGCGTGTGCGAGTGTGAGTGAGTGTGTTGTGTTTGGGCCCGCTTTTCTGCCTTTCTACCCCCGAAAAAGCAAAGCACAGCATAAAACTGTGCGCTCGTACGCGCGCCAGTTTGTGTGTGTGTGTGTCGTTTGCGTGTGTGTTTGTGGACAGTGCTAGTGAAAAGGAGGCGAAGAAAAGAAAACCAACCCCCACCAGCGGCGGCGGAGAACAGGAAAACAACAACAGAAAGCACACCACCACCGCCAACATCACTACCACCCACTCTTCGTCATCGCGTTCCGCGTTGTGCAGAAAACAGAAAATTTACAACAAAACACACCGAACCAGTATAGTGCTTAAACCGATTTTGAGGATTATCTTTCCAAACGAAAAAGGGCCCCTCGAGGCCCCTAGTAACATCCAGTAAACCCCTGCGCTCCCGATCCTGACATGATGAACTTCTCCGCGTTCGGCGGCCCCTTCTCCGGCATCCACCAGTTTGCCGCTAAATTCGACGCCCAGACGCCCGGCGCCTTCGGCACGCCCCCCTCAGCCGCTGCAAATGCAGCAGCCGCAGCGGCGGCGGCCGGCACCGATAACCATGTGCAGCGCTATCAGACCAATGGCAATCACTTTAATCAGAATGTGCCCAACGGTAAGTGAATCTGCCATAGAGACTACGAATACACTACATACGGTTCCACACCACACCATCCCATCCCGACCACATGCATAAGCATGCACATGCATGCACATGTGTCTGTATAACATAATCACTAAAAATTTATTTTATTTTTATCGATTTATTTTCGCCCGCTGCGGGCAGCGACGCCGGCGTTATAGCGTCAGGGGGTATATACTCTCACTCAAGCAGCGACAGAGGCAGAGGCGGCGGTGGCAGAGTCAGCGGCAGTGGGGGTCGGGCTAGTGCCCCGCCTAATGCCCTACACAGGATAATTTTTTTGTGGCAGAAGGGGGGAACTAGTTTTGTTGGTAATACAACTGGCCTGGCTAACTTTTGTTTTCTAAAACAGTTAATTTTATCTTAAAAAGTAAATATAAAGTGGATTATAAACGTAAACAAACTATAGATAGATACGAAGCTGATTAGTTTAATTCATAATTGTATTTTTTAGTTGGGTTGACTAGCTCTTAGGTAGTTCGTTTTATGAAGTAATAGTGAAAAAATATTTGTATGAACTCAACAGATATCTTTTTTAATATAAATTTTAAACTTCATATGAACAGGGAGGATTGAAAAATGTTGGTAAATATCGCTTTTTGATTGTCGAATAGGTTAACATACAAAATCTGTTTTTGCTATGCCCATTACATTAATCCTTAGAAATGAAGACAGCAAATGAAAACAATTTGTTACTTATGTATATGTATGTATATATTTGAAGAGTATTCAAAAATAGTTTTGCACTTTAAAGAATTCAGTCGTAGCCAAGTTATATCTGTTAAGTTCTACAACTTCAGTTAGGTAGCGGTATAGTAACGCTTTTTAAATTTAACAACAAATTAATTTATAGTTTTTTTATTTTTTTTTTAAATTAACCATTAAGGTTATTTGGCATGCTAGGATGTAGTATTCTGAACTAAAGGTTGGCTGGTTATAAATAGGATTTTATCATATAACTTCCCACTTGAGACTCGAACAATACTTTCCATGAATTGCCAGCGAAAGGTGGCTTCCATCTGGATCTACTTACTGGCATTCGCATAAAGACATGTGTTGTTGGAAGCGGGTTTTCCACCCTATCCCCGATATTCTGGCTTTTTGGCCAGCGAAGACGTCTTCATCTGGCAATTTGTAAACCGCACTAAAATTTTTTGGGGGTTGGTTAGCGGGGTGGAGCGACTTAGTACGAGTGCGAGTATACCCTGTCATCAAAGCTGAATTTAACGATTTTTTCGTCGTTGTTTTTGTTTTGCTCTCTTTTTTATACGAGTATATTCCGCTCTATGTTTTGAGTCATTACCACCCACCCCCAAGTGGGTGTTATTGTGTGGGTGTGTGTGTGTAAGTGAGCTATGGTTGTTGTTGTTTTGCGTGGCTTGAAAATGCAATGAACTCAAATAACTTTTGAATTTGCTGCATTTCACTTTGTTTTTTGTAGGGGTGGGTTTCGCTGCTCTCTTCAGCTACTTAAGCACATACATAGAAATACAATTAAATACATATATGTTTTGTGTGTGTGTTATGTGAGAGTGTGTGTGTGAGTTTACAACCCCCAACCCCCGAGAGCCTGCCTTTGCCTTTTTAATTGCACTGACTTCCTGCCAAGTTGCGACTTTTTTTGTTAGTGGCAGGGTGTGACCGGTCCCACCCCCGATATATGGAATACATAACCCCCCTTCCTTAACATACCCCTAACCGCAGGCTCCTTCTTCTTATCAATACTAATTAGTTGCATTTGCTTGCATAATTAGATTCCCAGGGCAACCCCCAAACCTTTGGACTGCATTTCATAATTTATTTTTGCCCTGGCAACTGCACAGATATTTTCCACTTGCATTTATTGGAAAGTGGAGAACCAAGCCCAGACCCAAACTCCTCTGCATCGACTAGGTTCATTGATCCCAGCTTTGGAGCTACGCATTATATTTCCAGTTTAGCGTTTTAAATTTTGTACCTGCTATAACAGGAAAATGCGTTCGCGAGTGTGTGTGTTTTATCTCTTCCAATACATACATACGCACAAACGATTGGATGTAATCTATGGGTCTGGGTTTGGGTATTCGGTGGACTGTGTGCGGCTGATCCCAGGCAGGTAAAGTGTCCCACGTACTCGAGCTACTGCATTCTCCTGCTTTTCTCGCTTATTAGCTGCATTATCGCTGCCCTGCGACTCTGTGACCTGCTCGAGGTCTATCTTTCGATACCTACCCGATAATTTGCTTGGTCGGTTTGCTTGTATAAATCATTATTGGGTTACCATGAAATGTGCAGTAGTAGATGTAGATATCGCTGGACCCTTAAATTTGCCCTCTGGGTATGGGTCTCGAAATGCAAACATATAAATACCTGACTAAGATTGGGAGAATGGTTGCAAGGAGTTCAGATGTTGGAAAACCCATAGCAGCATATGATTATCAAGCTGCAATAAAAATATGTTTAAAATATATCGAAATGAAAACATTTCTGTGAGTGCGAACCAACTGAAAATGTTCATTTGTTAGATTATTTGTTCTACGTTTTTATAATTTCCATTTAGGGCTATAAGAGTTAAGGCGGACTTACATAAATATTTAAGAAAAGATCACCAATTTCATTCTGAACTGAAAAGGGACTTATGATTTTTATTAAGATTGTTTTCTTAATATTTTATGTGAAGATAGTTTATTTGATAATCAAATTATCAAAGTCTGCCTAGGCCACTCGAAGTTACTTAAAAAGTCAACCGACAACAAAAAAAAAATATATTTTCTAACTCTTGTATCTTTTTGCCAATACCATAAATAACGGTTATATTTGTATACAAATATTTTAAAAACAAAAATTTGTTTCGCTTTGCCTTTATATTTCAAAACTAACCTAAAAAAAATTGTACGTTCATAACAACGAAATACATTTTTTTTAATCAATTTTCATATAACACTACCAGACTTATCTCGTACATTTCCTTTGTTATTTAAGAGACATTAAATTGTATGCCTTTAATCCTTTAGTCCGGATTATTTTAAGTTTCAGTGGACACCGGGTATTTTGTTGTCGAGGACACAGTCCTCTGCCCTTTATTAACGTCCCCCTAATGTTCTGCAGACACCCCAGCCATAAACCATTTGCATTTTTTATGTATGTACATGTAAACGTACTTATGTACCTATGTGCACAGTACATAGATGTATGTGCTTCATGGGTGTGAATGACTGGTTACACCCCCAAATCGTTGCCTGGATGTATGCAACACTAAAAAAGTGCGCATGATAAAGCAATTACGATGGGCAAACAAACCCCAATCCCCAAAAGCAAGCCCTTTCATTTGAATGGGTATAGATAAATAAATATTAACCATCATTGATTATTTATTTCTTTGTTTTTCCCCATTGACTTTAAGGCTTAAAGAGGCCGTTGAGTTTTCGAGTTTTTCTTGTTCATCTTTCTGGCGCTGATGACTTAAACTCTGCCGTTGGCGCCGTTTGCTTTGTACCCCTCTCATTTGTGACTGATTTCTCCCCCGCACACCTACACTGAGAAAAAATTCACTTCCTAATGTTCACCATAATAAAATTTATATTATTGAGATATAGCTTATTTTGCTATTAGTACAAGTATGATTATTTTAAATAAATTATTTTAATAATTATGTGTTATTTGTAAATGGGTACATATTGTACAAAATATTGTTATTATCAATAAAAATAAATATTTAAATTTGTTTATTATTATATAGATATATATATAATGAAATAAACATTTTTTATAAAGTAAAGTTCTCTCACCCTTTTAATTTCCCACACCCACTCTTTCTCACTTACTCTCTTTGCTTGCGGTCAAGTTTCGCCCAACTCCGTTAGGGGTTGCAGTTTTTCCCAACCACGCCACGCTCTCTCAGTCTCTAGCACTCTCTCCCTCTCCCGCGCGGGCGCTCTAACCGCTTTCACTGCCTCTCCCTCTCACACGCACACTGAGTCAGGCGACACACATTGACATGGACAGGAGCAGATAAACGCCATGTTTTTGAAATCGCTGCCAGGCGCATTCCTTTCCATTTTGTTCCACTTTACTGAACGAACGATCCGCCCAGAACCCCACTTTGCTCTCTCACTCTCCGCCACTCTCTCCGTAACTCTCTCCACTCTCTCCGCTCTCTCACTCTCGCTTGGCCGTGTTTCGGACTTCACCGACTTTGACTCGCTACTCCGGCTCCGATTCCGGCGATATATTCGTCTCCTCCACGCCGTACGTTGTTTTCCCTGTCGTTGCCGTCATCCCGTTCATGGGAAAGTGAAGTGAAAAGTGAAATGCCACGAATGCCGGTTGCCATCCACGCACACCAACCGCCATTGTTGTTGCCATGGCTCCGTATTTTCGGCCACTCCGGCCGATTTTTCCGGCTGCCTTTGAACCGTTTCTATGATTGCCGTTCTGTTTTAATTTATTCATGATATTTAAAAGCCATTTACCGGAGTTGTTGCTTTAACAATTCACTGCAACCAATTATAACATTTATTTTATTAAGTAAATTTTATTTAATTATCAAAGGGCTCTCATAAAATCTCAATTCACGGATTGTTAGTCATTGTCACGAAAACAATTCTTATAATTTGGGTTATTTTATTATTTTATTATAAATAAACAATAAAGAATCCTTACAAACATATCAAATTTTTATAGATCCAAAGTTTTCTTGATTTTACTTTTTTATAAGACCTTTCAGTTTGGCAGAGAAAAATGTAGGCAATTAAAAATGTACTGCCTACTTTTGCTAGAACTTGACTTATATCCTTATCGTTTTCTATTTTATATTTGCCCTATTAAATTAAAGCATTTGGAAGTATGTTAAGTTGCGGCCCAAGGTCGAATGGTAATTTATACACCGACTAAGACTAACAGAGACCACACGCACAGGGACACATAAATTTCACCACGTCAGCCAGAAGAACAGAAGAAAAGGAAGTTTGTTTTTCGATTCGTTTTCTGAATAACATTATAAAATGTAAAGTACAGCTTCCTGAATCCTTCCACCCGAAATCGGGTCATGAATTTTCTAAAGGAAGCAGGAGTAGTCTGAAAAAACCAGGCAATTGGCAACAGCCCGAGAATGTTATTTATAAAACTGAGCACCCGGCTGAGAAAACGCCAGGAAGCAGGGAAAATTCAAGAGCATGGGGGGATCGGAAAATCTTGGGGGAAAATGCACACCCGCCGAAAACCCCGAAAAAGTGGGGAACGCTTTTCCTATGGCATACATTCGGGCGTGTGCGCGACGGCCGGCATTTTCAGTTTCAGTTTTAATTTCCTTTTTCCTATGTATGCGTTGTCGGGGCCCGAAAACACGTGTGTGCCTCTATGTGTATGTGTGTGTGTGAAAATTTGGCCTTGGCAGACGGCAGCGTGTGGCCAAAGGGGCGGGAATGGGCGGTAGGGGAGGCGACGACAGCCAGCAGACAACAACAATTCGTAGGCACACGCACGTTCGGCGAGTAGGACCAACGTGGTTAACTATAAAGTGCCGATACATATTTATGGACTTTGGGGTGGAACTTATATGTTTTAAAGTTGGAATATTACAGGCTTACAGTTAAATACAATTAATTGAACGTTGACTAAAGGAACCTTAAATTGTTCAATAATATCACTTGGAGTTATTTTTTAATTGGATCCAAAGTCGAAGTAAGACTCTTTCTTTATAAAGTAAACCTTATTCCTAAAAAATGAAATTAAAACTAAATTTCCATTTTGAGAAATATTTTACTGATCTATAAAAAAAGTAGATGTGACATAACATTTTATTGTTTAATTATTGAATATAAACTGATCGATATAAAAAATGCTTTATTTTTAATGATTGTAATACTAATTACTGTTATTATTTCTAAACAATTAATTATATCAGAAGAATAAGATTTATACAAAATTTTAATAGTCAGCAATAAATAGATTAAACACTATGATAAGTAGTGTTTAACAATGCCAACACTGCGTATGTGTTATATCCTGCGTATGAGTGATAATCTTTGGCAGACATTAAATCCAATTTCTGCTGTTAACTTGTTTGTATCAGTATTTGAGGTTCACATACAACCAAAGTCCGCCCCAATATTTGTACATGCAGAAAATGTTGCTACGTACACACAAGCACAGCGTTACTGGCCCTAGATACATTCGTATATATATATCTATATAGTCGGCGTGTATATATAAACGGGGGAACGTGTGTCGTGGCACAGCGTCGTTACTTTGTCGGCCGTATGTTGTTTTTGTGCCGGCACCCGATCTTTATTCGGCTCGCCAGCTGAGCCATGGGATTCGATTCGGAGCCGGCCGGAGACATTGGCCGGAACCAGGAGCCGGAGCCGCCAATTCGGGAAACTCCGGCCAGCCCCAGTCGGTTGTAGGTAGTCGGCCAGAGTGCGTTGTGTGCGAGAACGGCGGCCGAATTGTGTTGAAAGTGGATTAAATCGCTGTGAAGAAGCTAATCCTAAGTCAAAAACTATATACACAATTTATATAAAGACTGCGCTCACCATGTGTAAATGTCTAAAACTCTTTTATCCCTCTCCCCCCCAAAATTCCCTAAACCACTTTCTGGCCTATAATAATTTGAAAAGTTTCTCTCTTTTCAGTTTCGGCTGCCAACAACATGCAATATGGCCAGAATATATCCATACCATACTCACAGCCGCAGGGCGATCTGAACTTTCTCAATGCAGCCGCTGCGGCCGATCATAAGGGTAAAATCCATCCAAAAATCGAACGTGACCGGGAAGAAGGTGAGTCGCCGACCCGCAAGGAGGGGGCTTAGTGGGCTTATAGTGGGTGATGGTTCCAATGTCGGCTAGAAAGTGGGAGGCTCGGGGAAGCTGAGCTGTATGTACAGCGCCGTTTCGGGTTGGTATATGTGTATTTCAAGGACGCAGTCATCACTCGTCGTGCGTCTCCCTTCGGCTTCGTTATTTATAAATGTTTTTGGGCCTGTCTGCTGTCCCCCAAGCAGGTGTGGGTGGTTTTGGGTGGTTTTAGGGCCATAATGGCACCATAGCATACTTTTTCATCCAGTTTTACGCCGAGCCACCTTAAACAAGTGGATGTTGCTTTTCTCATCCTGATTACGCACGCTGCTAAGGCAAAAAGTTTTCATCGCCAAATCGAGTGGTTGGGGGCGAAATGTCCTTGGCAGTAAATGGTTACTATCCTGGGATTTTTGAGCATAGACAGCCCTTTCCGGTCACAAATTTATTTAGTACGTTCAAATTTTAGCTTGGCTGCTCCGGTAATTATGAATTATATTATAACCATGTTCAAAACATTATTTAATCAAATTAAACTACGTTTTTTTTCCTTAGAATTCAAGTTTTTGATTTTAGCTCGAAACGTGTGAATATTGATTCTTGGTTAGTCATTTTTTAGTAGTTAGTTAAGCACAATTCTCTATTGATTTCAAACCAATTGAACATTGGTGTCTATAAATTAGCTGTGAAATTGTGTGCCTCAGTTTTCATTTTGCAAGTGAATTGAAATATACATTCGTGTAAGATTAAGAAATGTACTAAATCATATTCCGGAGCAGACATCATAAACTTTGTTACTACCCCAACATACACGTGCTTATATATATTTGTAGGCCAGCTCCAAAATGGTTTTTTTAGTTGCCTATTTTAAGCAGAAAAGAATTATGCAAAAGGCTTTGGGCGAAGAAAAAAATATTTATTCGTTTAAAAGCTTTAAATTTGGTATTGAAACACTACAAACATAAAAGCAATTTGTCAATTCCGGAAGATAAAAACAAAAATGGGTGGAAATCGATTTCATGGTTATGTTAGAATAAATAGTTATATCTATTATACAGTAAAAACTCGTAAGAAATTCAGAGGCTTTAAAAGACTTTTTTGCACATATATGTGTGAAGGGGTAAACTCAGGGACTAAAACAAGGAGACCATTTAATACTAAAGAAAATTCAGAGATTTAAAAGCATTAAGCAAAGCGTTTTAGTGCTTTAGAAAACGTTAAAATTGTTTTCAAGTCTATGCATCCGTTTATTTTCCAAACTACAATTTGTATATTCTTTTCTCTGTCCACAGTCCTCAACCAGCAGATCCTGCAGAATGTGAACCAATCCTGGCAGACGCTGGCCAACACGGCCAACACGGTGGACTACTCGTCGCACCTGCTCTCCGCCACACTGCCCATCTCCATACAGCACTTCCTCAAGTACTCGGAGACCATTAAGAAGGAGTCCACCGGCGATGTCCTGAAGAATGGCACCAATCTGGCCAGCCTGGCGCTGGGAGGCGTGGCCCTGACGCCCAGCAACAATGGAGCGAACGGCGGCCACCACAACGGGTTGGTGGGCATGGACCACGGCGGGCACATGACCAACATGACGGACGCCAACGGAGCGGCGCTGACGAACGGCGGCACCAGCAACGGAGTGAACGGCAACGCCAACGGGGCGGTGACCAATGGTGGCGCCGGCGCTGTGTCCAGCTCGGGATCCGTGGGCACCACGAACGCCAGCGGCGCCACGGGCACGGCCAGCGGCAAGAAGACCAAAAAGAAGAAACCACCAAAGGAGAAGAAGCCGCGCCCCAAGCCGGGCGAGATCCGCGAGACGAAGGCACTGGACGGCTCCACGCTCTACTGCTGCCCGGAGTGCCAGATGGCCTATCCGGACCGAAGCCTCATCGAGCAGCACGTCATCTCGCACGCCGTGGAGCGGCGCTTCGTCTGCGACATCTGCAATGCGGCGCTGAAGCGCAAGGACCACCTGACCAGGCACAAGCTCTCCCACATACCGGACAGGCCGCACGTTTGCAATGTGAGTCGAGGGAGAGGACTAGAGACTTCCCTCAGTATTGCCTTCGATTTTATTGTTTTACAAATGAGAATAACTTTTCAATCTCTCAAATATTTAAATTACATTTCATTAAGTTAATATATATTTTGATGACGAATTTATAGTAAATCGTTGGTATCTGTGCCAATATTGACCAACGTTGATGCGGTTATGAAAATAGTTTTTTCAGCTTTTGGAAAAAGAAATCAAGTTTTTTTTTTAAATTTTCACCACATTTATCAAAGGTATAATATTTTTAAATATTTATAAAAAATTAAATAGTTTAACTCTCAAATCTTGTTGGTAGTCTTATATAAAAAATGTCTTACTTAAATTTTGTTTTGTAAGAAATATAAATATATATAAATAAAAATATATAAAAACTAGATTTTGCAAGTGAATAACAATTTGTAGTTAAATTATAAATATTAATTTATACCCACAGATCTGCATGAAGTCCTTCAAGCGCAAGGAGCAGCTTACTCTGCACATTGTCATCCATTCCGGCGAGAAGAAGCACGTATGCATCGAGTGCGGAAAAGGTGAGTAACCTGTAGCCTCACGCCCTATTAACTTCTTATTAACCGATTGCTATGTGCCATTCCGCAGGTTTCTATCGCAAGGATCACTTGCGCAAGCACACACGCTCCCACATCGCCCGACGTGTCAAGTCGGAGGTGTCCGCGCAAAATGTGAACGGATCCGCCGGAGGAGGAGGCGGCGGCGGCGGTGGCGGCGGCAACAGTGCGCAGAGCAACGCGCTCCACGGCTCCTGAGGATCGTACAAGGACTTCTGGTAAACTCGCAGACGAATTTCAAGCCATAAGAGGCGGCTGGGCTGCTGGCGGTGTCGGATAGGGATCCGTATACGGATCGGCCTACCTGGTGCCGGGAGCAGACGAGCTGCCTTTGAAATTCGCTGGGAGCTTACTGGGGGTCCTGCTGAGCGTCACCCAACTCCAACTCCAATTACAATAACCCTCAATAAACACGAGTTATACTTACTGGATGCAAGTATTAGTACGATTTTGTTCACGACACTTTCAGTTCTTTAGCTTTAGTTCTTTCAGTTGAGATTTTCGCACAAAACAGTCGAGCAAAGTATAGCAATCGAAATGTACAAATCAGCAGAATGACAGATTTAAATTCGAGTTTAGTATGCGCATATGTTAAGGGATGATAACGCCGCTTCAACGTCGCTTTCGTTTCTTTTTGGGGATCTGTGATCTGTAGTCGCTGCATAAACAAAAAACAAACGAGACGATCGTAGGCGGTCGAAAGCTGTTCTAAGAATAAGTTAATATTGCTGCAACCGATTTACTATACATACATATATATGTGCAATTTATAATCCGTTTTGATTTGCCTTTTTGTTGCCCGTGCGGCGCTTTTGTTCACTACATTAAATGGTAAATGTAAATGTGTGTTCCCCTGAGACCACAGGGGAGATTCTTATTGAATTGTGCACATTTTAAGGAAGTAAGAAGCTCTACAAGCGAAATTTGTACTTCTAGTCTTGTATTTTATTTTACCGATAGGCATAGAGGGAAACCCGAATCGAGGTCATGTAATCTTAAGCTTTTAAACTTGAATGTTCAAAGGAAAACCTTCGACGCGAGTCACACCAAACACTAGACAGAAAGCCGCAATACGAACTTGCATCTTGGCATGCATGCCCAACTTCCAACCATCGTCATTGCTTGCAACTGCAATAACCAACAGTACACCTATGTATATCCAGCTTACCAATCGATACTGATACTGATAACTGATAGCCACAAATAGCGTTAAGAGCCACATTATACAGCAGCAATAGCCATAGGATCGCAGAAAGCACGGATCAACAATCCAACAGAACCGCTAAACATTAACAAGCGCTGCATATGCAACGGCCACAATAACCGGAAACACAACTGTATAAATGGATATTTTTATATATAAATACAAAAGAGAGAGCATATGAAAACCGAATAGGAATAACGGCATAAAACAATAACCGAAATAAAGTGCAAACACTTCGTGCAAGTGACAACGTAATTTACTGTTCAAATACAAAGCATTTTGAGATTAACGATTAACGATAAAGTAAACGATTAAACAGATCCAAAAGAGCATACATACATAGCAATGCAGCATATTGCAACCACTTGTATAGTTATACGAAGCTTCAAACTAAATACGCTAACCTACAGATACATATAGAGATACGGATGCGGAACCAGAATCAGATACTGTAAAGCGAATACTGTTTCTTTCCTTGTTTGTTTCGATCACTCAATTCGCAAATGGCCCACTGAGCTCGAACTTAACCAGCTTTTTGATTCCGAATCAAATGGGCATGAATATAGTTATACATTCCAAAATAAAGAACTTTTGAGCCCCTTTCGTCGAGTTAAGAACAACACTTATAATGTGAACATTTACCAGCTAAAATACAGAATACATATTTTATACAAATCGTAATTTCCTAAGAGTTCGAGCCAGAGCGACATTTCCATGCATTTTTCACGTTCAAAAACTTTTTTCCGGCACATCTCTCACAAAAAATGTACTTAATCAGAATGTAACCCATTGGGTTGGTGCCGAAAACTTGTGTATTTATTCGAATCGGTAGCAGGCAGTTCGAAATATACAGTAGTTTACAGTGCGGAACGTAATTGAAACACTTGCAGTGAAGTACAAATATTTTAACTACACACCTACAAGAGAAGAAGCACCCACGACACAACAGCAAATTACATATAGACAAGTAAAACGCGGAGATGAATTAGCCAAAAAGTAATGGAAAAAAAAACGAAACAAAACTAAGCAAATCTGAATACAGTTACTACGCTAGAGGGTAGCATATTATTAATGCGTTTTGTTGGCCCGAAAGGAAGTGGGCTGGTGGCAACCCAGAGACAATTTGTAAACAATAACGTGACAACTTATAAATAATTAAGCAACCTTCACAGCAAACAAGGAGTTTTTATTTTGCCATCGATTTTCTTGGTCTCTTTCACTCTCTCTCTCTTGACACACTAAATCGAATAAGAAAATATAAAACAATAAGTTTATAAAGAAAAAGTTGCAATAAATGACAAACAAATGAAATTAAATCACTCAGGGATAAAGCCTCCAAAAGAAAAACATAAAATAAAAATGCAATATTTTAAACGAAACAAAAGGAAAAAAAGAAAAGAAAAAGTAAAGAAAACAAAACAAAAATTTAATCTAAAGAGAAAGTACATTTTAAAGTTAAAAATATTTTAGTATAATGCAAGAAGGAAAAAAAAATGTTTTAGAAATTTGCACAAATTTTGGCATTTTATAAACGCAATACGAACCATCAACAAACAATGCATAAAGAACGAACAAACAGATGACGAAATATAAACATATTTTCTCACATTTCATTGGCTTATCGAAGGTATAAAACACGACAATTACAGGATAGTTCACCGACTCCATAGGCTTAAAACGGTCCGTGCAACTTTTAGTGCATTTAAATAAATTATTTGCGGAAAACAAAATAAAGACAGACAGGCAGGCAGTTCATATTTACAAGAGCTAAATGAGTAATGCGAGGTTATGCGGCCAAAGATGAAGTTAAATTGTAGTTAGAGGTGGATGGGATAATGGATAATGGAAGGAAGGCATTGAAAGCAAGGATCAGATGGGATGGGCGCGTAACATTACACCTTTTGTATTAGACGAGTTAATGCCGAATGCCGCAACCAATTTGAAACTGTACGTATTGAATTTATGTTTAGTGTCTGCAGCATGCGGGGGATGTGAAGGAAAGATCGACGGGCGAAGAGCTACAAAATACATTTAAGGGTTAGATTTTCTGCGAAAGGACTGAAGTTAAGGCAACGTAGCGTTTAAATGCAAAATTGAATTGAAAGAAACCGAGTGTTATGGATAATGGAGCGTGCGCGAATGCGATTGGTGACGAAAATTACTTGTTTAAGGCTGGACTTATGTAATTTCGAGCAAAACGATAGTAGCAAAACAAAACATGTAAAATGCAGATACAATATTTTTATAATTAAAAGGTACCCCAACCCAAACTCCAACCCCTTGATCTTAATATGTTTAATTCAACTGCAATTATCGTTAAAGACGTATTTACTGTTTGTGATCCAAATTCATTGATTAAACGTAAATTCCACAAAGAAACAATTGTTGCATGGGCAAGGTTTGACGCAAAAGTCCGGGTTCGCAAAGCACCCACAAGTACTCGATCCCCGGGTCTCTAAGACGAGGAAATCACGAGTCAAAAGCCAGGTTCTAAACTCGGCAGTGCGGCGTCAACGACTTGCAATACTTTGTTGGCAGGCCAAAAAATCACATAGACTTGCCCACAAAATACACCTTACAAGACCGAGTGTTAAAAGTACTTTTGGGCTCTCTGCGAACCCTTAGAAATAGAGCAGGAACAGTAAATTGTACTTAATTGAAAAATGATATAATAAAACACCGCCACTTTGAAATATATTTACTTGAATCAAATAATATTAATGAGTATATATAACTTTGTACTTGAATAATATTTTATTTATATTTACCTTAAGTCAATAAAAATTCAAATAAATTATAATCACCCAAAAATGCATTTTTTCAACTGTCTTTGAAGATTCTATCCCTGCTGGATGTTGACTGGTTGGTAAGTATTGTGAGCATGGGATGCTCTTCAAAAGTATATTAAAAAACAGTTGCTATTTATGGAAATTAAAATATTTGTTTTTTAAGGATAACATGATAACAGTTAAAGATTTCTTAAGTTGATTTTACCTTTTTATGAAACTCTTAAAAGAAATCTTACTAGATAAATGTATTATCTAAAATATTGAACGTACTTTGGAATTATTTTATCCAATAAATAATGCATTCTTTTGTTATAAATTTTCATTTTTCTTTCTTTTTAAATTTTCTATTTTAATTCTATGTAATTTATAAGCCAGAGACACTCGAAAAATGTAATTTGAATAGTATGAAGCGTACTTTTTTAATAGTCGTCCCATCGGAATTTTTGTTTTGTATATATGATCAGTAAAACACATTCAAAAATCTTATTTCGCAAGTTTTATGGGTATATCATTTACCCTTCAATCTGCTTGTCTCATTTTCAATCTAAAATTTGATCTTAGGTAAGTTAAAGGCAAACTCGTCTAGTGATGCTAGAAATAATTAAATGACATTTATAAAATGTAAGCTCGTAAATTTCAAACTACTGTCCACATTTTTGGTCATATCTACTAATTTTACTACTGTACGTATATCTATCACTTTGATTTGTCAACATTTCTTTTACAAGATTTATAATTGATACCGAAAACTATTTAATTATTTTAAATAACGGTGAAATCATAATTTAAAATAGTCTACAAACATAGACATGTAAAATACACTTAGAAACATAACAAAACGTTGGCATCCTTTTCAATTAGCGAGTGCCCTATCCTAACTAGTATTGCAACCTATTCGACAGTTAACAAGTTAATAAGTTCACGGTTACACTGGCTTCTAAACGTTAAATTCAAACTTTTAGAGTTGAAGTTTTTATCCTGCTAGTCTTTCCCTTTAAAGGTTTGCAGTTGTCGACGGACAAAAGTTAATCCCGAATTTTTGAACATGCTATTAAGTTTTGATTTGGATTGCACTGCGCAATTGACCGTTTTTTATCTTCGCGATTTACAATAAGAAACTAGCCGTTATCATAGGACTGACGGCAAGGAAGGGTCCTAAAAAATATTAAGGGGCTCAATTTTATTCTTTACATTAGAGTGCATTTCAGCAGATGCTAAGAATTTTAAAAGAAAGTGTGCAAGAAATGGAGTGCTAAATTAGCAGTGGCAAGAAAATATCGTTAGAGATGAATAGTCATCGATGGTCCCTGCCAAACATCGATAGGGCTGATTGTTTGTTTTTTGCAGCGAAATGTTAGCGAAGTGTCGAACTATTCGAAAGCGAGAGAGAGATGGATGAATAAACATCGATAGTCACGGCAAGACATCGATATCGACGATATTTCCCCAGATCTAGTGGTGAATTTGCATGCTTGTGGTGGGTTCGTGTTTTGCACCGAAATGTTAGCCAAACGTCGAACTAACAGAAAAAGTTAACTAAAAGTCGAACTAACAGAAAGGCAGAGATGGATGGACAAACATCGATAGTCCCTGCCAAACATCGATATCGCCGATATTTTGAAAACATCGATGACACCGACGCCGACATCGACGTTGCGCCATCTCTCGTCATTCGTCGGAATCAACTCGAAAACTCAGAAAATGGATCGGTAGCTGGGAAGGAAACTTAAAGCGAAATACGCAAAGAAAACGGCTTTTGTCCGCTGTTCAGCGATTTTTTTGTGTTGTAATCAGCAGAGGAAATTTTAACGACCAACTCCACACCACCAGCCTCTTCCAGCAGCCACAGAAAATAATAGATTACCCTTGCCACCAACACCACTACTACCACCACTTTACAACTACAGCAACAACAAAAGCAACACTACTGCACAACCAAGCCCACAAAGGAAAGGTGAAACGCAAATAAAAAAAAAACGAAAAAAGCGCTGAAAATAAAATCAAGTCAGAAAAACATCCCATATAAACGGCCACCATTTTGAATGAGCTGAAAGAAGAGAGCGCGAGAAAGAGAGCGACAAACTGCTTCTCATTTGTTGCACTACGCACTGCAGCTGGCCGCGTCGTCACCGTAGACCCTTCCAGCTTTGGAACTCGCTCTCCCTGTCTTCGTCTAATTGCGCTTAGAAACACCGTGCGGCAGCTACAACAACAACAACATGGTGGAGCTGGAGGAGCAGAAGTCCGGAACAGCTGCCTCTGTCCGCGTCGCAGGCAACAACAACAACCCCCGTGGATCTGGGGACAGCGGCATCCGGAGCGGCAGCGGCATTTCCTGCAGCAACACGGACAACAGCTGCAGCCAGAGTCAGTCAGGTGAGCACTTAACCCATTACGGGCAACTGGTCGGAAGAGGGCCCACAAAGTATTTAGAACTGGCTCAAAGTCCCTAGATCAAAGTCGAACTAGATTTGTTGGTATAACTCTGAATCGCTCTCAATTGTTGATTCTGGTTTTGGAAACACGACTGAATTTCCTCTAAAGTCGAACTTCTCCAAGGGAAACCTTACTTTATTCGTTCGTTTAATATCAGAAGTTTTTGCTGCTAAGGAGTGTTGAAAGATCCTCAATATTCGGGAACAAACTCTTATAAAAGTGAGACCTTTTGATTGCTACATAAATTTTTAAGATCGGACTGTTCTTAGCTGACTTCGAATTTTGCGGCTATATATATTAGTCTCCTTGCGCACGTACTGCCGTCCATAGTGATATTAAGTAAGAATTGGTGTGCAGCTAAAACTATTTCAAAAATAGTATTTGTTGTGCGAAACTGCATGCCAAAATTCGGTATTAGGTAATTTATTAAGAATTTCATATTGTCTATGACCACAAATCATGCACTAAACGTTCATACGATGTATTTATTATTTCTTTCCAACGGCTAGAGATCAATATTCAAAGGGTTAAAGCGGACCATTGTTCTACCCAACCACAGTCCCTCTTTTTTTAGCTATCGGTAAAGCTGAGACAGGCAGAACTTTCGTTTACCCTCGCTAATCAATCGAGCGAACTAGGGAGCATTGACTGGGGCAAACTGAGCACCGAGTGCCAGTGTATTTCCTTGACGTCACAAAAAGTTCGAGAACATACATGTTGTCTGCTTGCCGGCGGCTAACCCACCACCTCCTTCCACACACCACCCACTCCGTCCGTTTCTGGGGTGTTTACAGTTATTTTGTTTCACCAAGAGAACCACGTTGCATCATGCGTCTGGGACTATTAAGCGTAATGTGTGTGTGCCCTAATTTAAAGGGTACTCCAGCATCTGGATTTTATTGTCAGGGTGTTATTAGGGTAACCAAAGAACCTATTTACGTTAGGTTTTATATATCGTTCATGCACTAGCTAAATAGTCCTACCCCAATTGTAATGCTGCCTGCTTTAAACTTGGCAATGTGGCATTTAAGTTTTGCACGAAACGTATATTTTTTAGTAAGAATTCATTATATGTATATCATTCCAAATCCCATTACAGTCATTACAATTCAATAGAACCACTAAAATCAGGATGATTAGAAAACTCGCTAGATTGTTGTACAATAATATTATAATTAACCAAACAAGAATCCTTAGATATCAAAGGTTCTTGCATTAGGACACACTTTTCGTTTGTTTTCATCTATTTCGATTAAACACTCTCCGAAAGGGTAATCTAAGCTTCGTTCCCCTGTTTTCTGTTTTTTTTTTTAACCAACACTAGCAGAGAGCAGCAGCTGCCAGCGGTGAAACAGAGAGAGGGAGACGGCACGAGTATCTGTGTCAGCTAGCCGAGAAATTGAGCGTGTGCAGGCAATTAATGGAAATGGAAAATGAATCATGAGCCGATCGATTGAACGCCGTGCACTGGTATTCGTCGTGCTCGAAATGCATTGCCATTTATAACCTTCATGACGTTTATTGCACTTGGTGACGTTTGATCAGCCCAAAATAGAACGGCGAGCCAAAATGAACGAGTTGGCCAAAGCGGAGGCAACGATGAGAGCGAGGCCTCCCACACACATGCTCCCATTAAGAGTTTTCTGGAGAGAATTACAGTTGCAAATGCTGGGGACTGGAAGAAAAGCAAACCCAATGTGAGCCCATTACAGCAATCAGCTGAGTGGAAAAAGCTGTCAATGGTAGTGATAGGTGGGCTTGTTTTCCGCAACTCTTATCAAGAAGTTTCCCATTCTATCTAGACTTTTTGGAGGACAGCCAGTAGTGCCTACGTGCAGCCTCCAATTCATAAAATCAGCCCATCCATATCTCTCTCATGCGCAAAAGCCCTGCGAGAGAAATTTATTTTTTAGCTTTGGCAATGCCGCAACAAAAAAAACGTCAGCTGAAACCCCAGAGGCATATGTATGTTGTTGTTTACTTGTGCAAAAACGAAAACAAAGCGAGTTAAAAGTAGTTTTTGTTTTGCTGTTTGCCCTTTCCACTTGTTTGCGTTTTAACAAAACTCGTACATCACCCCACCTTCCATGCTGCTCTGGTATTGGTGCTGGAGTCTCGCCCTTGCTAACCCCCCTCGCCTTGCCAACATTTTCGGCCTACGTGCGATTCGACATCACGCTCTCGCACTCCAAAACATGACACTCTCTTTCTGCTCAGAGAAAATAGCAGTTCGATATGGAAACTAAATTTGCTGGTTCTTATAATGTAACACTAAGATGAAATTTACATGAGCTAAAAAATATGAAACTGACTTGTCAAACAATTCAGGGACTAACAAATTCGTTGACTCCAAACTCCTTTTACTATTTAGAAGCAATATGTAAAATCATTAAATTGATTGAAAAGTTATGTTACTTTTTGTGTACAAGAGCTTTAATTACATTGAACGCAGCCTTCGGCATTGCATCATGGAAATCTAAGGCTGTCTCTTGCACCGGTCTTTTCCAGGACCGCGCTCTTAAGTCGCCCTCTCTCTCTGACTGTCTCTCTTTGAATATATATTCTCCTTCTGGGCATGTCGTTGTGTTATTGTTTTTCCTGTTGCTGTTTTTGTTTTGCTTGCGGCAACAACACAGCCACAAAGCTACTTCTTGTCAAAACTGGTTCTGTGTCCAATCAATGATGTGGCTTTATCTTCGCTCTCTTTTCGCCCCCGTCTGTGTTGGTATGCGTGGGCTTATTGGCCAGCTCGTTATCGCACAGGTATCGGTATCGGTTTCGTCCTCTGTTTGTTGATCCGGCGTAAACTAGTGTATTTATGTATGTATATGTACATATACCCTTCTCGTTCTTTCTCTCTGTTTTCTTTTTGCGATCAAGTTCTCAGCAAGTACGTATGAATTCATACCGACTTGATGAATAAACATGGACGGTAATTGCCGTGCATTCGATTTGAAACCGGATTTTTGCAACCTGAGGCGTTTCTCTTCCGGGCTGTTTTTAATTTGTTTGTAACCAAGAAATCGATTATTATTTTCGATGATCCTATGTCAAACGATATTTCTGGTTGTTCAGGACTTGCAATTATTGAGCTGGATATGTCTCTCTCGCTCTGGCATGTCCACATAGCGCACCGTAAAATTACTTACGGGAGAAGTCCGAATAATACGAACGACGATATTTCAAGAAACAAAAATCACATGTCTTCGAAATCCACAAATACTATAGTTTAAATCATATATTAAGTTGTAGGTGATTTGACCAAAACGGCTATTAATAAAAAACAACTTACAAAATTTTAATTAGTAAGAGGTCTCCATTTGTCCTGTACTCAATAAATAAATAACAATATTATTAAGTAAAAATCTCTTAAGGTCGCACTATTATTCTGCCCTCCACTGTAAGTACATGTCTGTTTGTTACAACAACTCTCGCTCTCGTTTCGACGGTACTTTGCTCTCTTCGTTGTTCGCCGACCAATCTCTTCGCACTCTCTTTCGCGCGGCGGTAGTTCGTCGGTTTTGTCGCTCCCCGAAAGCGGGCCGGGCGCGTGTTTGAATTTGATTCTTTTTCTTTCCTCGTTGGCGCCGCGCGACGTAGGTCCGCAAGATTTGTCCGTGTTTTTCCATTTCTTTTAAATTCACTATTTTGGCCAATTGGTTCTCGCCGTACACCCGAATTTTCCAAAGTCGCCGGTACACACAAACAGTCCAATTCGAAATCCCCGGCCATTTAATCTGAAAATTTTCCGTGTGCTTCCAATCCAACCAATCTTTCAACGTTCTGATTGTTGTTTTCGTTTTCGTTGGACGGTTTCTGGAAAAGGGAGTGTTAAATCAAAGATGATCCAACCGGAATAGGGTTAAAATTAGCCCATAAACAAACAACTAAATCGAAACTAAAGCAATTGATCGACAGGGAAAAATAATATATTATCGAAAGCAGGCGGTTTTATCTACGCATTGCAAAAAACGTGCCGCCTAGAAGAATAACAAGCAGCAGAACGGGCGTTGCTTAGACAAATTGCGTTGCGATTAAAAGGCGAACGCGACAACAAAAACAACGGCAGCAAACATGTTGGGTAAATACAAAAACAAAAGCAGCAACAACAAAAAGTCTAGGAACGAGAAGAGAGAACTTTCACACACACACTCCCACATGTGCATCTTTGTAGGGAAAACGTTTCGAAATGCCGGTTTTTGCATATTGTTATTGTTTTTGTTCGAACAAGTTTTCCGCTATGTATTACAGTCTGTATCTATTACTCTGTATTCTTAGCTATTTTTCGAACTAATTTGATATTAATGTGCAAATGCAAAATAACTTTAACGCATGGTATAACTAATAGTTATTCTTTAATCAAATTCCAAAATATGTATGTATGTACATACATATTTAATTTTGTATTGTTATATCTGATGGTCTGCCTATCTCGCCATTTTTATACATTTTTCGCTTTTACAATTTAATTTGCTGCGCAATAATTTTCTGCTTCTTTACAGCACAAACACATGCGTTCTCGTTCAGATAGCGTACGTGTGTGCAAATGTATGAGTGCCCGTGAATCCATGCTGGCAAAAGTAGAAGGTGGGCTTAATAGTAGGATGCTCAAGACCTTTTAAATGGACGCTAAGTAGATTTCTAAGAATTAAAAATAATAAAGGAAGAAAGTCCCAAGTCTCTTTTTATTACGTATCCAACTAAATCGAAATTTGTCTTGCCGCTTCTAACGTCATAGTCTGGCGAATCTTGAGCTGTTTTAATTAAGAACTATTTATTTTTCCCTCTTGTCGCACTTTTACCTTGCCATGAAGTAATACGGCAAGAGAGAGGATCCCACCTATCTCTCCCACTCTCTCGTGTCTTCTGCTCTCTATTCACGAAAAGCTCTCATGTGCGACCGCATGTTGTTTCTGCTTCCCTTTTTCTTTGCGATTATATTATACTATTTAAATTGAAATCGGCAAAGTTAAGTGCCAAAAGCAAACCTTTTGCTTTGCTCGCTTTTTGCCTAGTTCGCTCGTCTTATCGGCCTTTTGTTTACTCGCTAATCGTGGCCACCGCATTTTGCGTTTCCTACCTACACATTTGATAACTTATTATGGCACTGCCTTCGATTATGTTTGCGGTGAAGTCGAAACGTTGAAATTTCTCAAGGTTTTTTCTCTAGACGCTTTCGATTCTTGTTTTGCTTTCAGCTTTTTGTTATCATCTTGGCTTCTGTGTTTATTTTTTGGACCTGTGAAGTTCTTAAAGTGTCCTTCATGTCGGATAAATTTCTAAACTTTTGTAGGAGATATAAAGTTGTTTGAGTACAAATATACTTATCTACTTTTATTTTATTTAGGAAAAGGTAAATAATAAGAAGTTAATACAAAAAATATGAAGAGCCGGCCGGCAAACGATGAAAAATGGTTTTTCCAGTGTCATTTCGTCTGTATCAGTTTGTTTTACATAAGTAAGTTGTCGTAAACGTTAGTCTAGCCGCTGACGAAATAGATTAAGGGCTTTTAATCTAGTTCTTATTGTCGTCATCACCTTATCGACTTGCACCCGTAGGGATCGGATGATGTATTACCGGTACCCACAGATTTTTTGTGCCGGAACTGCGGAAATTGTTAATGTAATTTAAAATAAAATACATTATATAGACGCTCATCGTCAATCAAAATGAAATGATTAAGCAAAAAAAAAAAACAATAATTAAATGCGCAGAATATTTGACAAAAAAAAGCGAGAGAAGCGAGAGTCTCAGATAAAACAAGAGAAATAGGAATAGAGATAGAGAGTGATCCCAGACGTACGCGTCTCTTTTTGTTGTCTCTGCGATTGTTTACGCAATTGATAACAATTAAAGCTGACCAACAAATAGGCCAAATTTTATATTTAGATTGGAACGCAAAGCGTGCGAAGAATCAGAGAAGAGTGTGCGGATGGAAGTGGGGGTGGACGAGTCGATTTGACATTTTTTGATAGGTGAATGGTTAATTTTGCATTAATTCTAAAATATATCGTGTAGTGCACTGACTAATTTCTTTGTTAAAGTGTTAAAAATACTTCTGATAAGCAAAGGAGCTTGTGCTGGGCTTATAAATTACCCGGTTTTTTTAACAGTGGATTACAAAAAAACATGTTTTTAATCTTGAGTTACAGGCGATTGAGAAAATGCATTTTTTAAAACTAAGGCTTTAGTTTAGATAATATTTAGTCTTATTGTTTTAATAAGTATATACTATACAATGGTATAGCACTATTATTTCGAAAACTAATCAATGATTATTATTTAAGAGATACTATCGTGTGTAAAATTTTAAAATGTGTGCAATCCCCTCATATCTGTAATAATAAAAAAAACTCCTAAACAGTCCTGACTTTCCCAGTTACTTAACCGGTATCCACTGTAGTTGACTCCACTCGATTGCTCTCCAATGAAGCGATCATCACTTGCAGTGCGACGTGCCTCCAGGCTGATTAGGCCTTTAGTCGAGCAGCTAGATCTTTGGACAGATACCGCCTTGTTGGCTATTGACAACAATTGAAGAAGAGGCACACACCCAACCAGGCTGATCGTCGGTCTCCAGCCCCTTACTCCTCTGATCTTTTCACCAGGCTTCGTATTAGTTCCAGCCCTAGCTCTGTGCGCCTTCACACAGAAGTTTCCTATATAGAGACCTTTTTGCGGCTGTTTACACATTATTTAATTTTACATATTTATGCACACTTGCGGCGACTTGTTTACGACAAGCGATTTGCCTTCTACGCAGTTAGTGCAGAAGTACCAGTATTTCTTATTTTTAATTCCCTCATTATTATTTTTATAAATTGATAAATGCAGAAAAAAACATGGAAATATGGCGAACGGTTTCGATAAAAACGTATATCACAATGGTTTGTTGATCTTATTGTGGTATTCCGCTACCAGTTAATTCCAAGCAAGAATGCAGAAACTGAAAGGTTCTGAGCGGAGTAATGAAATCTGCGTAGTTCTACTCCAAACATAATTAAAAAAATCACCGGCCAGCAGCTAGCTTATTTTAGCAAGAGTATTTTTTCGAAATTAAAGATGCAAAAGTTTCAGATAATATCGTAGATGTTTCTGTATCATGGTTAAATCTTTCATGAAACAATATATTTCGTGGAACAAGAAAATATTTATTACTCTTGAGTTCGAGACTTAATTCAAGTTCTGGACTTAAATGTTATATTACATTGTCTGACGATATTTGTATTTTTTTTTTTAAACAGACGGGCAGAATGAGTTGACGCGCTACAGCAGCGAGGATGTGTCGGGCAATGAGTCGAGTGAGGCGCCCAACATGACCGAAATGGAGCGGCAGGCGGAGTTGAACCGGCATAAGGAGGAGATGCAGAAGAAACGTCGAAAGAAACGCATCAGTTCCTCCCTGCATTCCTCAACTTTCCAAGGTAAGTGTACCGCCTAACATCTACCTTCGAGGACCTTTTTTTTTGAGGTATTCTATTCATTCCTTAGAGCTGTATAAGCTGACGGGCGAGATTCTTGGCGAGGGAGCTTACGCATCGGTTCAAACTTGCGTCAACATCTACACCGACCTGGAGTATGCCGTTAAGGTGATCGACAAGATACCGGGTCATGCGCGTGCGCGTGTCTTTCGCGAAGTGGAGACATTCCATCACTGCCAGGGTCATTTGGGCATCTTGCAACTGATCGAGTTCTTCGAGGATGACGAAAAGTTCTATCTGGTATTTGAGAAGATCAACGGGGGTCCATTGCTGACGCGCATCCAGGAGCACATCTGCTTTTCCGAGCACGAAGCGTCGCAGATAATCAAGGAGATCGCTTCCGGACTAGATTTTCTGCACAAGAAGGGCATTGCCCATCGTGATCTCAAGCCCGAGAATATTCTGTGTGTCAAGACGGACTCGCTGTGCCCGATCAAGATTTGCGACTTTGATCTGGGCTCGGGGATTAAGTTTACCACGGACATTTCGTCGCCGGCAGCCACGCCCCAGTTATTGACACCAGTAAGTTGATAAAAAGTTAAGGCCCTATTGACTGGCATTACTAATTGGAACCATTTCCCATTTAGGTTGGCAGCGCCGAATTCATGGCTCCTGAAGTGGTTGATTTGTTTGTGGGCGAAGCGCACTACTACGACAAGAGGTGCGATCTATGGTCCCTGGGAGTGATTGCTTATATCCTGCTATGCGGCTATCCGCCGTTTTCGGGCAACTGTGGCGAGGATTGCGGCTGGAATCGCGGAGAAAATTGTCGAACGTGCCAGGAACTGCTTTTCGAGTCCATTCAAGAAGGTGTGTAGATTCTTACCCTGACATTTTTAAATAGTTTGTTAGAAAGTATAAAAAATCAAGTTTACTCAATATAATTCTGTGTAAATCTGGGAAACTAATCTTATTTAATACTTTGTTTCTTTCTTTCAGGACACTTTTCCTTTCCCGAGGCCGAGTGGCATGATGTAAGCGATGAGGCAAAAGACCTAATTTCCAACCTGCTTGTCAAGCAAGCTTCAGATCGCCTTAGTGCCGAGGCAGTGTTGAATCACACGTGGATTCGTATGAGCGAGCACGAGCCACCGGCCAGCAAGCAATCAGGCCGCCACAAGGCTCTGCAGACGCCCAGTAACATTCGACGGTAATTAACTTGGAAATGTTTATGGTAGTTCCGAACATTAATAAGGCTGTAAATTTCATTTTCAGTAATCACCAATCGGCGAGGGAAATCTCGCAGTTTGCCGAATCGGCCATGGCCGTCAAGCGTGTCGTCCTCCAGCATTTCTCCATGCGCTACGACTACATGAAGGAGCGTCCGAACATTTACCAGCCTTCGCAGGCCTACATGGATGCCTACAGCGATGAGAACTATAATCCCAAGCCGCCGGCACACTACACTCGCAATCGTTCGCAGCGCAATCCCGCTGCGTCCCTGTCTAGCTACGGCGGACGTATGTCCTCGATGCACGGCCAGCGGGCCAGCAGCCGTCAGTCCTCCCGGAATGCCTCTCGCAATGCATCTGCAATTTACCCAAACAGCGGAGGCTTCAAGACACTCAATGTCCACGAGGAAGATGACGACGATGAAGCCCTGGAGGCTTTTGGCCGAATCGACGACGATGATGATGAGTGGGCCAGGTCCACGAGGCAATATCAGCAGCAGCGTGAGCTGCAGCAGCAGCAGGAGGCGCTGGGTGAGGATCGATACAGGCGGCAGAGCGGAAGCGAGGGGGACGACCTGGAAGACGAGGAGGATGGAGAGAGCGAGGACTATCAGCAGCACTACAAGCATTATTGGCGCGAATTGGACGAGGACGAAGGCGATGACTATTTGTACGAGCAACAGCAGCAACGCGAAGATGACATCGCCGAGGAAGAGGAGGATTTCGATGAGGAGCAACACGGGGATGAAAATCAAACAGCTGACAATCTAAAGCTATCGAAAGCTAACGTGGAACAAGTTGGCGATGCCAATGTGGAGAGCTCGAAGCCACAGCAGAATACCGGTGGGTATGAGAAGAAGGAACTTATTATGGATAATATGGATGAATCGACCCAGCAAAGCGAATTTGCTATATTCACCACAATGCGCAAAGATGCGCAGGAGGCGGAGACGGAGATTAAGCAGCAGGAGAAGGACGATGAGACGAAGGGAGAGAAACAGCAGGATGATGTTGATGGGGCTAAGAGGCAAGGACCATCAAGTGATATTAGTGCTACTACCATCACCGATAAAAACAAGCAGCAGCAGCAAACACCAGTTATAACTACAACACACATTAACAACTGGCAAACTGGCGATGCAAATGAAGATGATGATGTTAAACTATTGGATAGTATTAGTGATTTAAATGAAAAGCTACCTGAAATTTATGAGACTGCAAAGATTGTTGTCAACTCAGCGGCAGTGCCAGCAGCATCGACACCAGCAGCAACAGCAGCAGCAGCATCTGCAACACGCCCACCAACCGATAACCCAGAAGAAGATCATTCGAACGTGATCAAACCGACGACTGCTGTTGAGGAGACAACAATGCGAACGACTTTTGGCAAGGCGGCGGAGGAGCAGGCGAAGCCTCCAGCAGCCCAAACCCAGTACCAGACCACGGGCCACCACAGCAAGGCCGGCCGCAATGTTTACTTTGCCCTCGATGCATATCAGAACGACGAGGATGCCGATATCGAGGAGGATGACGACTACGACGACGATGAGGAAGAAGATCTGCACGAGCAGCGCAAGCAGCCGGTGCCTTCCATTGCCAATGCCTACACACGGAAGCAGCGACAGCAGCACCAGCGGTATATTGTGCCGCGCTATCAGTCGGCGGATCCACAGCAGCAGGCCGAGAACTGGCGCTATCGCACCCATCACTCGCAGGAGCAGCAGCCGGCAGCGGGCTATCGCAAGTACCGTCCGCCCTTCAGCACTGGAGGCGGCGGTGGCCACCATGGCAATCAGCAACGCAACTATTTGGGCAGCTTCTCACACAGCGGCGGTGCCGCTGGCTACAAGATAGCACCGATGCAGCCGCCGCAGCAAACGCTGCCGCGGCACAACAGCGCCGGAAGCAGCGGCAGTGGCAGTGGCGGATCCCCGCCATCCGACGAGCAGTCGACGATCCGTAACTGGCGCCAGGATTGCGTCTACGCGCGCAGCTGCGGAATGAATCAGCCGCCGGAGCAGCAGCGGCACATCCGTGCAACGGCCCAGCGGGCCCAGCAGCAACCGCGGATTGGCAGCGGTCGCTTCGCCCACCTGCAGGCGGCCCAGTTGATGGAGGAGCTTCCGGACATGCAGATCGGTCTGTCGCCGCCCAGCGAGAGTGTGCTGCTCCAACGGCGCCTGCGCCAGCAGAAGCGGGCCAACGATCTGTCCGAGTACTGCGAGCCGGCCACCGCAAGTGGTTAGGGGTTGGGTCCACTCTTGACAAAGAACTCTGTTTTTCACGCACATTCTCTAGAAACCAACTTTCCAGTTCTATGATTATTTTTGGTGCAAAGTTTCAGCCACTTACATTTCAAGCAAAAGTAAGTGAAGACTATTTCAATTCAATTAATTCCGCCATTGCAAACAGAGTTAACAAAAAAAAAAACAAAACACAAAAAAAAAAGATGTGAGGAAAACATTGTGGTAGGAGGAAGGGACCGCAGAGAGGGAAAAACAGAAATGAAAAGGAAAGTTAGAGTGGCAATTGTCTACGCTGTTTTGAAGCAAGCCAAACAGTCGTTCGAGATGAAACAACAGAAAACAAATACCTTTTTTTATAAAAAAGATTCGAAAAATTGTAATTTATATTGCAGTATAATTTTTTATTATGAAAAATAAAAACGAATACGAAAAGTGTTTGATCAAGAGATGCATAACAACCTCCCCCCTCTAGACTTTTCTGTTCTGGTGAAATCGATAAAATCCTAAGTACTCCTATAAATTATTGCATGCCTCTTGAGTCGAAATGGTGACCATTTTAAAACACCCCGTTCCAAATACCAAAATGTACAACAAATGAAAATTGTTAAAATTTGTATACTTAGTATGTTTTTATTTCTCATGACAAAAATTGTTATAAGAAAGGAGAGAAAAAAAAGGAAGCGGGCAGTTAGTTTATAAAATCAATTAAATTGTCAAAATTTTGAGTGGCTCGCTATTTAGTTTTACCCGAAATTTACACTTAAACACAACTAACGTTGGTAAAGTTATTTCGAAGAAACTGACGTGGGCACAAGATAAACTGTATTTGAAATCCTGAAAGATCCATTTCGTTTATAGTTTATGTGCGTGTACATGCCAGTTCCTTGGAAGTGGCTTGCTTGCGTATAGTTATTTCTTTCTAAAACTGTTGAGAAATATATTTTTTTAAGCCCCCGACAATTCCTCCAACACTAACACCCACTTACACTATCGCCAACTACAATGGGCAATGCTAACAACGCTTGACATTGCATTGCAAGTTGCTCAACCTTTTTTTGCCGGGCGTAAATGAAAGGAAAACATGCAAACCAATTTTGTTAAATACATACACCTATAATATTTAAAAAATTGTGATATAAAATGTAAATGTAAATGCACCTGAAGAAATCTATCTATCAAATGACGCTGTGCCATCAACAACCCCTTCTAGCCACTGTTAAGGTCGCCACTGAAGGAACATTTTCCACAGTCTTTGTTTGTTTACGTCCCACGAAATCAATGTCAAGTGCATACACACCAATACTTCTATTTTTCCAATCAACAGCAACATATACTACAAACTTCCAAAAAATAAAAACAAAATAAAATGAGAAGAAAAGAAATCAAATCAAAAAATCTATATAAACTGATAAAATGCAAAACTAATAGCATTGTTTATAATTTTATCTCGGAACGCGGCTGAGAAAATGTTGCCAACAGCTTCGTTTTAAGTTCGGTTAAAGTTTTGAACATTTAATAATAATATAACGACAGCGTCCAGATAATTTTAAACTATTCATGCAATCGATTCCTACAGAAGCAATCAAAATTGCATTGAAACTTAAATATTGAAGTGGAAACTATTGCTTTCGTTTTGTTTGTAAAACTGTGAGGAATGTTTCGCAACGAAACAAAAAAAAAATTAACTATGAGTTAATCCGACAAGCAGCGCTGCTGAAAATATGATAAACTACTCTCAAACAAACACCGCCTTGGTTTATTAAATGTCCATTAAACCAATGGGTAAACTTAAGTCGTTAACACTGGTCAGCGCTGCTTTCGAGAAGTGAACACCAACGAGAGACCGGATTAAAAATTGCAAATGCATATAATTGATTAGCTGACCGATTACATCAATTAAAATTTGTATGAAAACAATTTGTTTTAAAATTATTGCTATACAAAATTGTGAAAAAAATTAAAGCCAAGAGAAAAGAATACGAAAACCGCAATAAAAGGAAGAGTAGATATTGTTTTATACATAAAACTCAATAAAAATGCAAAATACAGAAATTGTGTTGTGAATATGGTTTTATTTCAGGCAGCAAAAGAGGAGAAACAGCCCAAGAAGACATATTAGCCAGTTAAAATATAGCGTGCTGTCACCAAAGGATGCCGTATAGGTTGGAGCTCTGGTCTGGGGAAAATGCAATACCATCATTTCGGGATAGTGGTCAAAACTCGTGTTAAACATGGCCTCCTTATCCATGCATTCTTTCAGCAGTCTGTGTAGAAAGCGGTTCTCTTTGTTAACACAGGCGAAACTGGTGTGATAGTCGTAGATGGGTGTTTCGTTTCGGACGAATTTCCCCATTTTATCGACTTGAAACCAATCAAAATGGTGCAGCCGACTCCTTCCAATCGTCATGAAGAAGACACGCAGGTCATCTTCCATGTGAAAAAAGGCGTACGAGTGGTTTTGGTCGTGATTGCGGTAGTAGAGTTCTGGAGTTTGCGGCCTTGTTTTCTTTATTTCGTATACGCCCCGGCAGAAAAATATAAATATCTTCTCCTTGACGGGCCAACATTGTGGTTTAAGTCCCATGTGAACTGTAAATATGACAACGATATTATTGGAAACTATGTTTATATTGTAGAAAGCAGAAAAAAATGGCTTTTATCAATGTGATACGTATCGTTTTTACCATTGTATGTATAAAGTTAAACTGATATCAATTTCTTTTTGTTTTTTCTCAGTTTGAGCATATCAAAGTGATACTCCAAGTATAAAGACAATGGTTTTATTTCTTATCAATTTTTTTTTTCATTTTGTGTTTTTAAACGGGTTTCCGTAAAAAATCAAAATATTCATCTGAATTTACATATGTACATTTTATTTTGTTGGTTTAAATAACTCGGAATCCCTACAAATAATGGGTTATGTATCAAATTTCCTAGACTGTCTTAAACAATTACAAGAACAATGCAGTAATTGTAAAAATGTAATACTTTGGAATTCAGAACTTTTGAACCGACAGTGTGGCCGTTGTGCAAATTTGTAATGTACGAAAAGGCTAATTAGCCGACGATAGTATCGTTCCCATCGCCGAGCTGCAAGTTATTGCAACGTCGAAGAAAAAGTTGTCTGACTATTTTCCAGTTCGGTTTTTAACTGTTAGAATATTGATATTCCGCCGACAAAATGGTTACATTGTGAGATTGTATTGAACGCGTATTTCGAGTGCCGGTTGTGATTTTTTCAAGAGCAGCAGCTGCGGATAGAACACCACCCCACCCCCCCGATCAAAATTGCATTTAAGCTTACTTTTGTTCCACAATAGCAGCTGTTTCCCCCTACCTTCCCCCACCCACTAGTATTTCTTATCTGAAGCTTAATCGCCCACTCGAATTAAATAATACTCCTGTACTTACGAAATCAGTGTTTAGTTCGAAACATATCAAAAGCTAATTGTTGAAATTGTTGAGATAGCGAAATACGGAATATTTTTAAAGTTTTATAAAGGTAAGCATTTTTGGGGACTTTTGTTATCTTTGAACAGCTGTTCAGAACCTACCCCTCAGCCGAACAGCTGTTTTCGGCTTTTGTTTGTTAATTTACAAGCTAGACGGCTTGACAACTTCTAATATATTAAAACAATAAGCTATTTGTTTGAAATAACAAATTGAACAAATACAATTTACCGCATTAATTCGTCTTACGCATACACCTATCGATAAGCTTATGTATCGATATTGCACTCATCCCTATTGCGTTGTCTATAGAAAACTGAACTTAATTAATAAGACGACTAATAAGTTATCCGGAGCTTCCGTGGAAAAATCTCGTCATCCCTCTACTCGAAATCGGAGCCAAATTTTCCAATTACTCCGGCTGCAATTGAAATATCATCACGAAACCTACGGATTTTCCGCTAACGGCAATGAAAAGTTCGACGGAAAATTGGTGCTGACAAAAGAGTGTGTATTTGACGAGCAAATTTGCAGTTTTCAAACATTTATTTGAGCTTAAAACGGTTCTTTGTGTACATCTAAAAGATATTTTCACAACCAGTAAAACGTTATTAATCGTTAATGATCTTTGGGGACAAGGTATCCACACTCGTTTACCCCTCTGATTGTTTTTGTATCGGTTTCCGAACAGAAAAGCAAACTGGTCTTCCCCTACAGGCAGTTATAACTCATACCCGAAAATCAAACATTTTTTTTTATATATATGCACATATATATTTAGCACATTTTGGCCTATGTGCGCTGCAACATTTCTTCGTCGTTCCGTTGAGACGTTGCCCTAGACGACCGAAGAGCCATGGATAGCTTGGATAACGACCAGGAGGAGCTGCGCCACCAGCCGCGGGTCACCATGTCGTTCGGCAGTGTGGCCTCGAGTCCGGGCGTCCAGGATTCCCGTAAGCTATCCCCTTGCCTCACCTCAGATAGTACTAATCCTCTGGTTTGCCTCCTGCAGATTCCCAGTATGCCATGTACTATAATCAGCAGCGGGACTCGCTTTCAGATAGCTACATGCTAATGACGCCGTTCCTCTCCGGACCGCAGACCCACACCCATACCCATTCACATACCCACAATCATTCGCCGTCCACTTTTACCGCCCTGGTGGCGCCACGCCGCGAGATGGCCTCCACATCGGGTTTCGAGGCCATGACCGGAAGGTGCGACAAGTGCAGTTCGCTGGCCGGACTCTGCCGCTGTCAATCGGTGGCCAGCAGCAGCAGCAGCAGCAGTAGCAGCAGTCGCTATGCGGACTCCTCCACCCAGGGCCAGGCCCAGGCCCAGTTCCTGGAGCAGCCCTCCTCCTCCACTACGGCCACGGCAACCGGCAATCTGCCTGTGGCCAATGCCCATGCCATTCCACGCCCCAAGCGAAAGAAGACTGAACCGCTGAACGTAGAACAGGACGTTGACAATGCCGGCGACGCAGTGGTGGCCTCCATCAGCAGCGGAACATGGCCAGCCGGCGCCATGGAGGAGCATGCCATGGACGCCACAGCGGTGGTCTACGAGCTGCCAACCAGTTCGCTGCAGCTGAGCAACAGCTCCTTTGACACCACGCCAAGTGGCGTGAACGCGTACGACGATGTGACCTCCAGTGCCTCGGATACGGAGCACGGCCAGTTCGCCCACACGCGCACCACCAACACTACGACGACCACGTCGGCGGTGCAGGCGCACAAAAAGAAGGCGAACCGCTCCAGCGATGCCTCAAACTCGTCATCCGCCGGTGCCGTGGACGTGGATGCAACGCCGAGCACGAGTGCACAGTCGCGATGTCGACGGCAGATAAATCACTTCTCGTATCGCAGCGCAAGAGTGGTGGAGCCGGAAAACGAGAGCAGCGACGATGGCTGGGATCTGCGGGTGCACAATGCCCCAGCTCCCGCCATTGAGCCCACAGTCACGATTATCCGAGGCAGCAGGGGATCCATTGATACGGATGCAGGGCATACGGATCACACCTACTTCAATAGTCGACGCTCTGTGGCTGGAGCTCCGCCGGACAGCACCTATATGCGGCCAGCCTCCTGCTCCACGGCCACGCACACAACGCGCAGTGTGGATTATGGATCGCAATTTAGTCAGAGATCCGTGGAGCCACCTGCTGCTGCTCCATCGCCGTCCACAACCTCTGACCAGGAACACGACCAGCAGCATCAGCGTCTGCCGGCCAACCTGGAGCAGTTGGAGAGCAGGCCAGAGCAGTGTCAGGAGGAGCCCCCTGGCCAGGTCATGGACAGAATGTTCGGCTCGCGCTGCAACTCCGGCATAGCGTGGAGTAGGGTGCGCCCCACGGACGACGCAGTGCCGCCCAGGAAGCAGCCACGATTGGAACTGGCAGGGAGGTCGCCACCCAGCTCCTCCACCAAACTGTCGCCCACGAACTACAATTCGTTTCAGCCGGGTAGGAGCCGGCATCGCACCTATGCGGAGCAGGGCAGCAGTGCTGGCCAGCCTAATCTCATCTCGCTGCCACAATCCTCGACGCCAAATGCGAATGGACCCCGTGTGATCACTTTCGTGGGTCGCCCCAGGGAGCGGCAATCCTCCGTGGAGCTAAGCAATCTTCCGTCCACTTCCACGGGCAGGCGTGGCGATGCCGCCGTCGTTCTGACTGCTCCCGATTTGCAACTGGACGACTGGTCATCGGACTCCAACGACGACGACGATGACGTGGTGTTCGTGCACTCCACCCGCGAGCCCATTCTCTCGATCGATTTGACCTCGGACGACGATGGCCTGGCCAATGAGGCTCAACTGCAGCGGGATAGGGAGCGAAGACGCGAACGGGAGCGTGAGAGGAACCGGGAACGTGAGCGGTATCGAAACGATGGTCACCAACTCAACCAGGAGGATGCAGGCGATGAGAGAAGGCCCATATTCAACTATGCCTACAGCCTGCCCTATGCTCGCAGGTCAGATCGCCGGCAGGAGGCGAACAGCGATGGCACCTCCGCCTTCGCCTTTTACAGCGGCGCTCTGGCGGATCGCGTCGCCATCTCGGACCACAACTACAGCTATGAGCTGGACCAGCTGATGGATCCCAGTGCCAGTCACTATTATCCGCCGCGCTGCTCGAGCATGGATCCTCAGCGCTACTTCCTGCCGATCAACGAGCCATCCATGTGGATGCAGGGCCATCCACAGGCGCCACCACCACCACCACCACCACCGCCGCCACTGCCGCCGCATTCGCTGCCAGAGAATTCCTCCGCCGAGGCGTTCATACGCCATCAGCAGCGGGCACCCACCTCCACGCCAAGCAGTTCGGACGCTGGTGGCCAGTCATCATCGCAGCAGGCGCGCCGGAGGCGCAGCAGTCCGGCGAACGTCTACCACCGCTACCATCCGTACTATGTGCCCCACTACGCGATCACAACGCTGCCCACCGTCATGGAGGCGGACTACTCGCCCAGCCTCCAGCCACATCCGCATTTTCAGGGCGGTCAAGGCGGCAGCAGTCGCAGTTCGCTGAGCGGAGCTCTGAATGCCGCTGCAGTGGCAGCGACGGCAGCGGCCGCACAGGCGCAAACATTCAGTGAAATGCTCTCGCAGGCGCACAACGAAGGACGAGCAGCGGCACTGGAGGCCAGGTTGGATGGCAGCAGGACGCCGCCACATGGCGTTGTGCACCAGCACCAGCAGCAGCAGCAGCGCCAGTCCATCAATCCGCCAGCGCCGGGAGCAGCATCGAATGGCAACCTGGGGGCAGCTGTTTCCCCGCCACCGCCCCTGGAAATGTACTCCGGCCGCAGCACGATCCCCTACTGTGGATCTCCACCTTTCAGTGTGAGGCGCTCGGAGGCGGCCTATAGCAATCGGCAGCACTACCAGCCCCAGCCGCATCAAGGTCACCAGGCGCCGCAGAACCAGATGCATGCCCACATCCATCCGCCGCATCGGGCCAGTGCCATAGTGGCCACATCGCTGACCCCGGCACCACCGTATCCAGTGCACCAGAATCTGTGGTATCGGCAGCAGAGCATGCAGGAGATGCACCGTCGCCACATGACGCCCACGCCCATTGATCTCTCCTCGAATGCTCCCCTGCTGACGAGCACCCTGCGCAACGGGTACCTGCACAGCATCTGCAGCTGTGTACATGCGCGGAATGGTCCTGTCTCCAGTTTGGATCCCGCCTACTATCCGCCGTACGATGCTGGGGCAGCGGCAGCTGCTCCTCCACCGCCACCACCTCAGCAGCAGGCAGCGGCCACATCCGGGACTGCCAGTGGGGGCGGGGCACCACAACCGGGTCTGAGGCACATGCAGCTCCAGCCTCAGCCGCAGCCGCAAGCCCAGCAATCACCGCCGGTCATGCAGCACCTGCAGCGGCAGCGGGCAATCCATCACCATATGTTTCACCATCACTACTCGCCGCTGCATCTGGAGATCGGGCTGGCCACACCCCTCTCTCTGGGCTCCCGAATCCTTATCGGACCACCTCGTCCCAATCGGGGAGCTACTTTGGTGAGAACATAAACGGGTCATTGGTTATGCCATTCTTTACATTTACATTTACATTTATTATTTAAGGAAACCATTGAGCGGAATACCTTGCCCCACAAGTACAGACGAGTTCGGCGACCCAGCGAATCGGATGAGGATGCGGAAAAGTGTGCCATCTGTCTGACCCTCTTTGAGATCGAGAACGATGTGCGGTAGGTTCGCAACATGTCATTTGACAAATTGTATTGCTGATACTAATAAATGAGAATGCCCTTGTAGCCGATTGCCCTGCATGCATCTGTTCCACACGGACTGCGTGGATCAGTGGCTGGTCACCAACAAGCACTGCCCCATTTGTCGCGTCGACATCGAAACCCACATGGCCAATGACGCACTGGCGCCCAGCTCCAGCGGCGTCACCGATGCCGCCAATACCGCCGCCTTATGACATTGTGTGCATGGTATCTTCATGTAAAACCCATAGACTGAGTTCGTCGCGGCAGGCATCGATGTAAGAACAAAGAAGGAAATAATCTTATATACAAACTTTAAAATGTTTAACCCACCGCAACGCATGTAAGAGGCAGTTGCGCTGCAAAATATCAAAAAGCTAAATGTGTTTGGCTCAATTTCTAAGTATACTAAGTGATTTGGCAAATTATTTCCTATACATATGTACAAATTGTCCACGTTTTGTGAAACAAAATTCTTGTGATAAGAATTTCATAAATATGCATACGCATTGTTATAAGATAGAATTCCCATGATGGGCGTGAATGATCATTTTGGCCCAAGCTTGTTGTTATATTTTTAATTGTCAAACAAATTACCGCCTAATATCGCATCCAAATTTTTTGAAATCTATTTGGCATTGCATATTTCTGTTTAACATTTATCAGCATGACTTTCGACTTTGTATATTTTACATATTTTAGTATTACCCCAACTATTTTTCCATTCTTGTTATGTTTTTATTGCCATAAAAATGTAAAGTAGGATTTTATATTATTCTACTACCCAATAATATTATACGAATATTTTAATTTAACGACTACTGCTCAATATCTCATAATGTGCCATATAAGTAATTTGATTTGATGTAACTTTTAAAAGCTTGAGATAACATAATATATAATGTCGAATGTAAGGTTGGAATTATTTTAAGATAAAAGTTTTATAAAACTTTTCAAAAATACATGTTGTCCAAGACGACGAAATCAATAAATAAACCAAATCAAATACAGTTTTCTGTGGCCTTTCTTATCCCCCGATATAAACGCGGTAATAAATTTTATTTTTTATTGGGAAGTTTCTTTAATCAGATATATTTTGTGATTTATTTATAACAGTTTGTTGAAATTAATTTGAATTTTAATTATGCAAATCGTTTTGCTGGTTTTGAAAGATGTTTTGTGAACTCATCACGCTCCAAGAAATGTTTAAATGGGTCTGTTTTTTGTACAAAAAAACATTGCGGCGACTAATTTTAAACATTTTTCTACAAGTTTTTATATATTTTACTATGAAAGTTTTCATACTATTTGCATAAATATGTATTGGTGAACTTTTTAAAACAAACAATTGCTTTAAATCTCTAAATGTCTATATATAATCCCGGATCTTTAGTTCTGGTTCGGTTTAGAAGTTTTAAAGTTTTTTTCTTTAAATGATGTAAACAGGTAAAAGTAGTCCTTAAATGTGTATCATTTTAAGTTGCCCCACCCAGTGAATACAGCTTTGCTAGGAAGCATTCCGTTCTAGGCGCTGTTACTGGGTCCAGCACCTGGATCATCGTCATCATCGACATCCTCTTTGGTCAGGTCGGCGAAAAAGTCCGATGTGTTGGTGCACTTGGAGGAGGGCAGATTGTGACGCTTTTCCTTGTATGCGTTGTGCTTGTCGTTATACTTAATGTCCCCAAAGTCTTCGAAGTACTTCACGTTCCAGAATCGCACATCGTTGTTGTGCGAGGAGGAGGCAAGCAGCTCGCCGTTGGTGTTCACGTCCAGGGATTCGATGGGCATGTTGTGCTGTCCCACCACGCCGAGGTTACGGTACGGTGCGATGTGGCAAGCCCGAATGTTTCCATCCTCTCCGGCGACGCAAGCTATCCTGTCCGTAATGGGAATCATTAGACTGATGGGGCTCTTGATGCCCGGATACATGTCGCAGTGGTAGCCGAATTGGCCCCAGTTGTAGGTGTACAGCCGCCCCTTGGAGGTGCCCACCACCAGCTTGGAGTCGCCGCGGTAGATGCCCATGCAGCTCAGCTCCTCCTCGTACGGCTCCGATTGCACATACATTTTGCGCGCAGCAATGTTAAATGTGGTCAGGTAGCCATCGGCGCTGGTGGCCAGCAGCAGCTTGTTCTGGTCGTTGGTTATCAGCTGGGTGATCTGATCCTCCAGCTCCTTGAGCTCGAAAACGGCGTTCTTGGTGCGCAGATCCCACAACTTGACCGTGCCCGCATCGTCGCCAGTGGCGAAGAGATTTTCGTTGAGCACGTGCAGCGTGTTGATGGCATCGTCGTGGGCCGTCTCGTAGAGCTTCTTCAGCTTCTCCGTCTCCATGTCGGTGACCATCACGCACTTGTCCTTAGAGCAGGTGAGAAGGAATAGTCCATCCTCGGTGAACTCCACGTCGCGGCAGGCCTTGGAATGAACCTCGATGGTGCGCAGCAGCTTGTTCGCCTCGTTGTCGTACTCGTACAGATGCACATCCCCGATGATGGTGGCCAGGGCGATGATGTCGCGGTCCGGATGGAAGCAGATGTCCGTGATGAAGTCCTCCAGCTTGATCTCTGGCGGAGCACTGCGCGGTTTCTTTATGGCAGCTATCATGGCACGTACAGTCTCGTCTGTTTCATCCTCTTCGTTCAGGTCGAAGGTGGTGGCCTCGGATTCCCTATTGCTGCCCGATGGGTTATCGTCGTCCTTGCGACGCTTGGCGCTAGTTGCACCCCCAGCGGCTCCAGTTGTCGCGTCCTCTGCCATCGAGTCATCTGAGTCTGAGTCCGCTGCATTCGGATCGAAGCTGTCGTCGCTGCTGATACTCTCGTTGCCATCGTAACTGCTGTCGCCATCGTTTCCCGGCACCGGAGCACCCATGTCCACCAGGTCGTACTCGTCATTGTCGCTGTCCGACTCGTTCAGCACCTCCTGTTCGATCTCCGCTATGACTCCCACCACCATGTCCTCGTCCAAATCATCCAGTTCGTCTTCATCGGAAGGGGTCTTAAACTGGTTATGCCTGCGAAGTGCATTTTAGTACGCTCTGGTTCGATGACATTGCAGTTTATGACAAATTACTCACGTATGCATAATAATATTCTTTGTCTGAACTCTGGAAATATGCGCTTTTATTTACCACGTTTGGAAATTGTTTGGATACCACGGGAACAAGAGGAAGCAGAAAGCATGTCGCCCAACAGCTGTTCACGAGTGTTGTCTATCTGGCTTTTCTATAGCTAGTTTTCTTTAATAAAAGTTCGAAACTTTGTAATTATTGAGTAGTTAGCTTTTGATATGTAAGTCAAATGATTTATCAACTTATCAATTGATAATTAATTAATTAATTAATTTTTGATTAAAATGAGGTTCTCATTTGCTTCTAACGTATATTTAGTTTGGCTTATTTTATAGAGATTTCTTTGTATTCTGTGGCATATTTCAACAGTTGAGCCACGGTCACACTGAACCCCCTTCGCATTGTTTATAGCCAATATTGCGCGGGTAATTATTATTAAATTGTTTTGTTAACCAAGTTATGAACTAGTTGTTTTCGAACTAGAGCGCTGGCAGCTGAATGAATCGCAAGTCGAAATGTCCAAGAAACCCTTTGCACCCAGGAAACAGCTCACACTTAGCAGCTTTATTGGCCTGGATGGGAGTTCCCAGAGTCAACCCAAGAGCAAAGGTAGTTGGAAAGCTACGATTAATTAAGGACATTAATACTTATAGTTGCATTTCAGTGAGCAGTGCCAAGGCTAAACCCACTAAAACCTACAACCCCATATTTCTGGACTCCTCTTCATCCGATGAGGAAGCATCGCAGAAATCCAATCCAATCCAATCTAGCAAAAGTACTCATGTTTCGCAGAAACCCAGCAGGAATACTGAAAACAAGTTTAAAAAGCACTCTTATTGCGACCTGTCGCAATCGCCATTAGCTTTACTGTCTGACATTAAACCAGTCAATGATTCCCCCAAGAAACTGCAACAAAGTGAGAGAAACCACACGTACCGGGGCTTGTCTGAATCCCCGCTAGGAAACAGTTCATTTGAGGATTTTCTTAAAAAACCGCCACAGAATGAAAGGAAGAACGTACCATTTTCATTGACTGATTCTCCAACAGGTCCAAAGCTAGTAAAGAAACTGGAATCCAGTTTACCTAGGGACTCTCCAAACAAACTGTCCCAAAATGAACGGAAGCCCGTGGACTCCCCGCGTCAAAAGTACTCATTCGAGGACTCGCCTAACCAACAGAACGGTGGAAGACATGCTTTACTTACCCTGCCCGATTCTCCTCCTCCGCCAGAGCTTCCAAAAAATTCGGAAATGAGTTCCCCAAAGAAGCCACCACTGAACGAAAAAAAGCATACCTTTTCGAGCCTGCTAGAAGCATCTCGGGATACAATTACTATCGACGATTCCCCACAAATAACAGAGAGAAAGCCTAAGCCTATGCCCGAATCGCCTCGAGCTTTTATTGCATATAAGAGCACCGGCAGTACTAACAACCTATTCGAGGACTCTCCAAAGAAAAGTGACAACGGGCAGTCAGGATACAAACTGGGGTCAGCAAAAGAAAATGCAATCCCAACAAAATCAACGTCTATGGCCCCAAACTCCTCTCCACCTCCAGCGGCGCCATTAAAACCCAGACTCAGTGTGGCTTTTGACAACTCACTGGCTGATTACCTAAAGGATTTGGCCCAGAATGACAATTTCAGCATTGATCCCAACAAGCAGGGCGCTGAGGCACTAAAGACCACTCTGGGCTTCTTTCGCACGACTTACGTCGAGCTAATGGAAAAGTATTGCTCTCTGATTGACCAGATTCCCGCCATGCACTTCAACGAAATCGCAGGCTTCCAGCCGAACACGTTCCTCAAGCTCAAGGTAATGCGGCAGAAGTTCAAGGCTCGGACGCAGCTTCTCCAAAACACCCTGGATAGGAATGAAAGCAAGCTAAAGGCTGAGCAAGAAGCCCTGGAGCAGGAGGAAATGGAAATGCAGGCGGAACAGAGTCTTCTGATGCCTTCCAGTTCGACAAGCAAAAAAGTATGCTCCCCGCCAAAGAGTAGTCTTCGCGTTATGCCTCTTAATAGGCTAATGGAAAAAAAGGAAGAAAAAATGCCCAACCGCGAACAGCTGTTACACGAACTTTGCGGGGAGCCGGATGATTACTTGCCACCCAGCAAGACGACCAATCCGTCTCCGATGCCCAAACGCCAGCAGTTCATCCAGGATCTTTGCGGGGAGCCGGATGGTTACTCGCCACCCAGCAAGTCGAAAAATCCGCCTCCGATGCCAAAACGGCAGCAACTACTTAAAGATCTTTGCGGGGAACCGGATGATGAGCAGAACGATCCGCATATGTTGCGAAAGCGCGAAGAACTTATCCACGATCTTTGCGAGGAACCGGATGACTACTTGGCCCAGAGTATAATGCTGGATAGCGATCTCGAAGAGGAGCAATTGAACCGACCCACGCAGCGGACCACCGCCAGTGAGATGGACGATGAAGACGATGACTTGGAGGGACTGTTGGCGGACATTGAAAACGAGCACCAGCAGATGCAGGGCCGCAGGTCCGAGTTCAATGGCTATGGCTACAAGGATTTCGAGACTGTCCAGATGAAAGAAAAGCCAACGGAAATCCCGAATAAAGCTCCCTTGGATGACGATGGGTTTCCCGAATACGATGAGGCCATGTTCGAGGAAATGCATTCTCAGGCTGCAGCTAAAGCCGCTCCCAGCGGCAGCAGCAAGAGCATTGTACCTGCCAAAGCGCCCACTCCCACAGGCTCCCAGAAGCTGTCAGGGAATTTCCATTCTAATGTGCACAACGACGGCACCACCGGAGAGTTCGATGGCCAAAAGTTTGAGCACTCCATCCGTCTCATGCATGGTCTGAGCTATAGCTTCGGCCTGAAGAGTTTCCGTCCCAACCAGCTGCAGGTGATCAATGCCACCCTTCTGGGCAATGATTGCTTCGTCCTGATGCCAACGGGCGGAGGAAAATCATTGTGTTATCAACTGCCTGCTATTTTGACCGAAGGCGTTACCATTGTGGTCAGTCCGCTCAAGTCGCTGATCTTCGATCAGATCAATAAGCTGGCTTCTTTGGATGTGAGTAGAGAAGGCACTCACTCTGGCAACTTGATTAGTAACAACTTTTTTTGTTTACCTTCTCCTTAACAGATCTGTGCGAAGAGTCTGAGCGGGGAACAAAAAACGGCCGACGTCATGGCCATCTACAGGGACTTGGAATCTCAGCCACCAATGGTCAAACTGCTCTACGTGACGCCAGAGAAGATCAGTAATTCTCCCCGCTTCCAGGACATATTAGATACCCTGAATTCGAACAACTACATTAGCCGGTTCGTTATAGACGAGGCCCATTGTGTTTCTCAGTGGGGTCACGATTTCCGGCCGGACTACAAGAAACTTGGAATCCTTAAGAAGCGTTACCCCAATGTGCCAACCATTGCCTTAACGGCAACAGCCACGCCCCGCGTCCGCTTGGATATTCTGGCGCAGTTAAATCTAAGGAACTGCAAGTGGTTCCTGTCCAGTTTCAACCGCAGCAATTTGCGGTACAGGGTGCTGCCCAAGAAGGGTGCCTCGACGTTGGACGACATTAGTGCCTACATCTGCACCAAGCCGGCCCACTCCAGTGGCATAATTTACTGCCTGTCGCGCAAGGAGTGCGACGAGACGGCCAACAAAGTGAGCAAGAACGGCGTTCGGGCAGTGGCCTATCATGCGGGTCTCACGGACAGCGAGCGGGAGAGCCGGCAGAAGGATTGGCTGACCGGAAAGATAAGGGTAATCTGCGCCACAATCGCTTTTGGCATGGGCATCGACAAGCCGGATGTGCGGTTCGTTTTGCACTACTCCCTGCCCAAGTCCATCGAGGGTTACTACCAAGAGGCAGGTCGCGCAGGCCGAGACGGAGACTTGGCGGATTGCATCCTGTACTACAACTATTCGGACATGCTCAGGATCAAGAAGATGTTGGACTGTAAGTGGTCAAGATTGTTATTAAGTTTTGAATATAACTGACTGTGCCTTTGTTCTTCCAATTAGCCGACAAAGCTCTCCAGTACAATGTGAAGAAGATACACGTGGACAATTTGTACCGCATTGTTGGGTACTGTGAAAACCTCACGGATTGCCGACGCGCCCAGCAGCTGGACTACTTTGGAGAGCACTTCACCAGCGAACAGTGCTTAGAGAACAGGCAGACCGCCTGCGACAACTGCCTCAACAAGCGAGCCTATAGGGCGCTCGATGCCTTGGAGCATGCCCGAAAGGCTGCACGAGCTGTTAAGGATCTGTGCAGCGGCAGATCCCGCTTCACGCTTCTGCATATATCCGACGTTCTAAAGGGCTCCAAGATCAAGAAGATTATGGACTTCAACCACCACAAGACACCGCATCATGGAACCCTGAAGGAGTGGGACAAAAACGATGTGCAAAGGCTGCTGCGCAAAATGGTCATCGATGGCTACCTGAGGGAGGATTTGATATTCACCAACGACTTCCCTCAGGCCTATTTGTATCTGGGTAATGACATCAGTAAGCTAATGGAGGGAACGCCCACATTCGAGTTTACCGTGACCAAAAATTCCAAGGAAGCCAAGGCGACGGTGGCAACCGTTTCCGATGCTGCAGCTTCGAGTGGTGGCGATGGAATGCGGGAGATTCACGAGCGCTGCTACACGGACCTACTGGACCTGTGCCGAACCATTGCCAGCCAGCGGAATGTTACCATGGCCAGTATAATGAACATTCAGGCCTTGAAGAGCATGGCCGAGCAACTGCCCCTCACCGAGAAGGATATGTGCAGTATTCCGCACGTGACCAAGGCGAACTACGACAAGTACGGCGCCAAGCTGCTTGAGATTACATGCAACTATGCCTCCGAGAAGCTGCTGATGCAGGCCGTCCTGGACGATGAGATGGAACAGGCGGCCGCCAAGCAGAGGCCCAGTACCTCGGGTTGGAACAACGAAAGTGTGGACTGGGGCAGGGCGGCGTCATCGCAGGGCAATGCCAACACAAACGGTGCTGGCGGCTTCAACTCCTACAGAGCGGGCAAAAGGAAAAAGGTGTACAAGGCCGGAGCTAGCAAGAGGTACAAAACCAGCTCGGCATCGCCGGCCAAGAAGAGTACATCAACCAGGGGTCGAGGAGGCAAGGCGGGCGCCAAGCGAGGAGGTAGCTCAGCAGCTGCAACATCATCATCATCGGGCTGGAAATCCAAGAAAACAGGAAACAGCGTCGGTTTTGACCTAATGCCACTGCCAGGATCTAAATAACATAAGCTAGACTTCTTAAAAAATGGCTGGAATTGTGCGCTTGCTCAGAGGTTTATCTTAAACTCAAGCCTGGTCATTCTGCTTTAGAAACTATAGGCTTTAAATCCATTTCTGTTCTAATTTCTATAGCTACAACTATTTATTTTTTCATTAAGAGAAAAACATATTTTTTGGGTAGAACCTATTTAAGTTTTCCAAGCATTTGTACAACCCAATATCACCTTAAAATTTCAGTTAATAGAATTAAGAGCTTATCACTTCGAATTTTTACATAAACTTTCATTTTGTTAAACAATAACAGCACTATAGTAATCGCTTCACACAGAAAAAAAAACAATTGGTTTCCGCTTTGATCATTAGCATTGAACGTTGGCGTTATCCAAACCCTTACTTAAGTACTTAGTTCCCTCCCGTAGCCTCTCATGACTTGACGGTCTGGCGCACCTTCTCCTCGAATTCGTAGGCGCCCATGGACCAGATCAGGTTGGCGTCCGTCTCCACCTGGACGAACTCCGTCGCGTAGGTATTCGATGTGCTGACCATGCCACCGAACTCCATTTGTGCGTGATCTGTGTGCAAGAAAATAGGAGCGATGGTTAGATATTTGTGTTTTCAGGGTGATTTCGTGTACACACATAGGTTCCACTTGAGGCCAGTCGTGGTCACATTGTGCGCCGTGGAGCCCACGGGCATCAGGGAGCACCACCGCTGGCTGGTGACCAGGTCGACGGGCACCTGTATCGTGTGCTTGCCCGGTCGCAGGAGCCATGTAACCGAATCCCCGCTGAGCAGGAACACATTGCAGTTGTCCTTCTGAGATTTGTACAGCGTATTCAGGTTAGCCATCACCTGGTCCAGACGGCCGGAGGTGTCATGGAACACCACCACATCCCGAATTTTGCGCTGCGCCATCACGGGCTGCAGCACGGCGATGGCCTTGGTGAAGTCCGTGGCATCCTGATCGGGTGTGTGCACTTTCGGTGTGGTCTTGAAGAAGTCCACCGTGTCCTCTGAGATGGAGTCAAAGTCACCCGTTATCACGTCCAATGGTTCAAGTGGTGAGCTGCCTTTCGACATCTTTGACATTGCCTGACCCACGACAAAGTCACGCCAGTGATTGGAGCCTCCATCGACGGCACAGCGAACGGCGGCTGGAAGAGATTGGTAACTAGAATTGGTTTTATAACACGGCTCCGGCCTTACCGTTCTTCCACAACAGCTTGACCACGTGCGCCGGCACCTGGATCTGGCGGTTGAGCACCACGCAAACATGTCCTTGGTCGCCCAACTTGAAGTTCTCGTTGATCAGGTTGCCCGGCGTCCATTTGAACTCCTTGGGCGGTATTGTGTGGTCCATTTGCTGTCGGAAGCCGATTGTTGTTTTCGTGCAGAGAAGGCGTTCGGCGGCGGGGTGGGGGTGCGGCAGCGCCGGGCTGCCAACTCGCGCGATTCGGATCCAACGGAATCCGTGGCCCGAGAGGCGCAGCCAATTTAAAGCGACCCCTGGGCCGCTTGGCGGTGTCATCGTGCGGCAGCAAGTGCCGTAAAGTTGAGCAAAATTCATAAAAAACTTGAAAGAATACGCCCGGAAACTCCTTCAGTAGCACAAAACTGCTTTTTTAAATATTTTAAAATTTGTTCGTTAGAAATGTGAACTCTGGTCACACCATCCGCATGCTGGCAGTCCGTTAGGGAATGGAAAAAGCTTGCGATGTGGCGCGAAAAACCTAAAACTCGATATTCAAGCTCTGTAGATTGAATTTGAACTATATTAAAAAATGTTGTATTGTAGAAAACCAAGTTTGAATTGAGAGGTGAGTTCTAAAATTTCAACTGCATTTTGTAACTGATTCGATTTAGCTAACTACGTATTTTAATTTTTTTTGAATTTGAATTTTAACTATATTGAATAACCAGCAGTCTTATTCTCTTATTTGTTAGTATGATTTGCCAGTTTAAAATAATCTTTTCTTATCAACTTTGGATGCTCACTCCCACCTTATCCTAAATAAACTCCAAAACTAATCTTGTTTAAATTGAATCTAATTGTGCATGCATCAAACGAGATTTCAAGTGATATGTGGCAAACTGCTTAAGCCAATTATTTTGACCGCAGCAAGCATACATTTAATTTTAATGCGCACATTCTGGAAGCATGCAAGCTCGACCAAATACTTATTTTTCATTCAATAGACAAGTTAATCCTTTGTAAAACTCTTGTGGCTTAGGTTAATGAAGCTGCTCGCTGGTCTGATGAACTGCGGAAACAAAAAGCTGGCTGGCAACCAGACTTATCGGGGTTGGGGAAGTTGCAGTCGTACCACAATACTTTTGTGCTCGAACCTCCGATGCCAGCTGTATCAATATTGTTACAGTTCATTTTGTTTGACCTACACAAATAAAGGCATTTATACGGATCCTGTGGCCAGACTATGAGCACATCCTCGCCAAGACCTCTGGCCATGGCCTTTGACCAGTCAGCCAGCCCCGTTTCAGGATTCGGATTGACAATGGGCGATGTTCCATGAACGCTCTTTGCTGGCCACCCAGCTTCCAAAGAGGTGAAGTTGGACTTAAACAGCTTTACATGTCACGTCCGAAATGCATTGTGCAAATATCATTGTAGAGCCGGTTCCTTTGCAAACTTTTAAAGCTTAACTGTATCAAGTGGTAATATCTACCCATCCAGTTCACATAAAAACAATAATCCCTTAAAGGCAGTTTTAAATGGGTACTGATTTAATCTTAAATGTGTACAATTATATGGAATAGTCATTTACTGTATGACTGACATAAAAATTGTAATTAAAGGTTTGTCATCCGCACACGTTATTAACCTTTTATTTAAAAATCAAAGAGCATTGAATTAATATGAGCAATACAAATATTGATTAAATAAATAAATTAAAAATTTTTTGTACGTTTACGTATGAGTTGATTTGATATATTTACTTTTCTTATTGGGAAACCATAAAACATTTATTTATATTGCAGTTTTCGTTTTCATTAAAAGTTCACATTAATGAGCCGTAAAAGTAAAAAAAATTATGTTAAGATGGCGCGGAATCCTGGAAGAAGTTGCTCCGCCCCAAGCAACCATAAATAAATAAAATTGCACTTGTAAACGCATGCCTTTGGCGTTTTTGTTCGCCTTTATACGACTTTGAAATGAATTACTTGCATTGCCGCGTGACTTTAATACCTTAACGAAGACTTTCGGGGTAGTTGCCATCATGACCCGATTTCCGTCTTAGTCGTGGTCCGAAGTACCACAAACTCGGCATTGCCGGCAAGGAAAAAGCAAACGGATCCAGCCAACCTCTGTCACCTGTTTTTAATTTCTAACTTACCCTGTGGATTGTTCAGAGGCAGAGATTTATGTCTGCGTGCGGCACGGTATGTTATACATTTTCGAATTTAAGATACCGGCTATTAAATTTTTAATGACAGAACTGGTAAAGTTCGTGCTCTATTTACCTGGCTATCTCGCTTTCCCATCCAACTGCAACTAATTGCTGGCAGCTCTCGAATATGTGTCACCTGTGTGGTATTTAAAGTGGCAAAATTAAAAGCCAAATGCCAACGCAGTTAATTCAGAAACCAGTGCACCTCCACTCCTGCTCATCGCAGATTCAACTCATTTTTTCAGGGGTTATAATTATATGGTTTCGCCCATCTACATTTTCCCTACTTCACGGTTCAATGCACCTTGATGACGTGAGTAGAAGTTATTAAGTCACAATGGGCGACGACTTGCTGTTGTTTGGCGGAGTTATAGTCGTAGTCGGAGGTTTATTTGACGTTGCCAGGCGGTGCCAAAGTCCGGATCCTCGAGCATAAGACCCACCTGCCAGGCAGCGAGAGCCAAGGATGCGACAGGAAATTCATCAATGTCTCCACCGCCTGTCGCCTGCATTCACTTGCCAAGCGCGGCAACATTTTTACCCAAAGCCTGAAATTGCCAATGACGTGGAGAAGAAGGTAGAATATAAAAGATACACTCAGGTGTCCCGACCTTAAAATACCTAATTTAACTGCTTCCAAATTGGTTTACAAAAAAGTATAGCATAGCTTGTTGCGCAATAATTAAAGACTATATAATATATATTTTTGTTTTATTATAAATGTATAAATTTCAACAACAAATAATACTTTGGGGTTAATAGTGTGCAATTTTTTTTATCTTGCGAGATGTAAACCACTTTAAAAATAAATATACTAAAAAAGTGCTTTAATAAGCAAAAGACTGCGAATGAATTAAACTACCAGAAAAACATTATAGCAACATAAAAATGTCAGCGTTTAGAAAAAACATAAAAATTAGTGTTCTTAAATATAAATATAGGCAATGAACGCGTGTTAGGATAATGAAGAACTTAATTAATTGTTTAAAATTATTGGTTAAGATTATAGAAAATTACAACAAATCCTTTAAATTTACTTAATGGTGCTATGCGTAATAGCCAAAAGTACTCTGTAAAATTAATGGAGGATGGAGCTAGGAAAATAGAGCAGAAGTAGGTTATTTACGATCCAGAGACAGAAGCAAAACCGCATAAACGGATGCCGGTCGTCGGGCTTCTCTCCGCCAGGAGGAAATTATGAATTTAGATGCGGCTGAGTTTTGTTCAAGTGACGCTCCAGCTTTAACCGTCTATATCGGTAAAGCCTCTCACTAGTGCTAGAATATCTGTTCAGGGATTATCCAGTAAACCAAGACAGAAGCACTTGACGGGTCCCAGCATAATGTACATTGTACATGTTGATCCTTTGTCAAATTAGTGAAGCGCACTTGAATGCCCAAAAACCACAAGCTGACAGTTATGAGTGCTTAGCACCCATGCAGTTGGTCAACTTATCGGGGACCTCGCTGGCCAAACAATATTCCACCTTATTTACATATTCAAATTTTGCTTACTCAAGCCCAAAAACCCGTGTGAGTGGTCTGTTAAAAATATGGTTTTACTTATGTTTAACCAACCAGCATACATAAAAGAAAACAAAAGTTTATTTTTACCATATACATAGTTGCGTTATATTCTGTTTGTTTGTTTTTTGTTTAGCATTCGCCTTCCGTTTGGCAAACTGAATTCATTTCTGCGTTTACAATTATTGTATTCCGTCAAATTAGCTTAATCATTACAAATACGGAGCACATTCTTCTTGGTGAAAATGATACCCACATTGTGCCCATAATCGAATTTTACTGACTGCTTATGGGTTGTGTGGTGGAGTGCGCTCTTCGTTAGCGCATAAATCACATGGCGTATGCGTAATATTCGTATGTGTAGTTGTACATACCTTTTTGCCCTTATATATATATGCAAATCAAATGAATAATTATAAATCTATGCAGTTTTGATTTGGTGAATTTGTAATCGGCTTTTGTTTGGATTTGCCGCAATCTAATATACGCATATTCGCATGCATATTCAGTGGCATTCGGTCGATTGGCATTTGGCTCAGTTGCCATTGTAGTCCTCGATGAATGTGTCGATGATGTAGCGCTTTACCTCGTTGATGGAGGTTCGCTTGTTGCTGCACTGCAGCCGCTCCTGGTTTTCCGGCAGGACGAGTAGTTGCTGCAGTTCCCCCTGCGACGAGTAAAAAACGAAAGTTAATGCCCATAAAGTACATAATTGTCCGCCAATCATTGTATAATTCCCATTGTGAATGCCCAACGGGGCGGATGCGCTATCATTGCCATGCAGGCTTCACAAAGAAACATGTACGAGCGTCGAAATGTTTACATTTATTACATTTAATTGAATGCACAATGTAGGGCCCATTGAATTCAGAGATATGCTTTCTTATAAAAACTACTCACTTTTAAAACAACATTTGTCATAAAAGTTATACGTATTATCTTTGATAATTAAATAAAATATCTCAAAGGAAATTTGCGCTATTTTATGGAACACTGTTTTTACTTTCTTCATTTTTAAACAACAAAATTAATTTCAAAATAGTAAGTATTAAAGGATTAAGCTTGTCTTTACATTAAAACTTTATATGGTTGTTTTGATGGTTTATATTTTTTTAATGCTTAAGATTAGGGAGCTGGTGATTAATTATTGACAAAACCAAAGTCTATCATTTATTTATTTGTTACGAAAAATTTGCAAGCATTATTATAAGAAATTTAAGCAACTTATATTCTCATAGAACTTTGATTTAGAAACACTCTAGATTATTAGGGGTTGAGTCAGTCGACGGGCAGTGAAAGGCATGAAAGTCGAATTGTATGTCTCCCCCGGGAAACAGCATATATATCATCTATACTCACATTAAAGCCGCGTCCAATTTCCACATCCGCGTCCATGGGCAACGTGAACAGTCGCTTGGAGACAACGAAACTGTTGGTCCACGCGCAATCGACGTAAATCGAAATGAAATCGCCATTCTGTATACTGCACAGTGGATGGAAATAACAGCAAAACAATAATGTTTAAGTGAGCTATTCGCAAATTATTAAACTATATATGGATACATATTGATGCATTGTTGCTGTGCGTTTGTATGTGTGTGTGTATGTGTGTGTGTGTGAGCCACCGCACAGTGACAGTGAGAAATGTGCCGACGGTCGATGACAAATGTTACCAACTTGAACCGAGTGTCAATTTGGCTGTGTGTCGTTGTAGCCAGCAAAAAGCAAAAACCAAAAAAAAAAAAGTCCTCGATATTCATGTGCAGACCGTCTGTTAACAGCTGCGGCCAAAGCAATAACAATATCGTGATTGTGTGCATTAATTAAAAAGTTATTGTAATATATTTTAAATACTGATAGTTTTTATTTTGGAAGCACCTTTCTTTATCAGATAGGATTAAAAAAAAAATAAAATTATAATTTTAAACCAAAATATTTGTTTTCATCAAAAGTAATGGATAGGAGATCATGCAAAAACAAATTAATTAAATCCATTGATTTAAGTACCACAATATGTTTCACTCAAACAGTTAAATTTTAAGCAAATAAAAAAGCAAATGTTCAGAATGCTATTTCTTCGACCGCAACTGTGTGCCTGCCTACTATTTGCATGTGTGTCAAGTGGCTGCCAGTGTGCGTTTCATGGCACAAACATTTATGCTAATAAATTGAAAATGCAAATAAACGAAAGTGTCAGCGTCGATGGCCATCGGATCGAAGTGAGTGCCAAAAGCTCACACAGAGGCACACGGAGGCAGTGATTGGCAATCATCAGCACATGGAGGCCACTACCACCATCCAGCCACCAATACCCATCCCCATCTCCATCCCATACACACCCCACCCAAGCACACACACTCACCTGATGGCCACTTGATGCCAGCGATAATCGTATAAATTGAATTTCACCGGCAACATTTCCGTCGTATTGTCCCGCTCCAGATACAATCGCAGGCCGTCCTTGCAGGCCTCCAGATAAAGATTGTGGGTGGCGTTGCGGATGGAGAAGATGGTCGCCGTGCTCTTGGTATCGTTCTGAAATGAACATAACTTGTGATTCCCATTCGTTAAGTAACCAGAAGGCGAACCCACCTTCGCCCTCAGCGTGACCATCAGCGTGAAGTTGAGCAAGTTCCGCCAGCTTCGAATGTAGCCCATATTAAAAGGCGTCGAGGGCGTTGGAATGAAGGCTGTGCCCATTAGCCCCGCCGTGGTGAGATCCGCATTCGAATAGGGATCTGGGTAGGATGAGGCTTCCGAAGCCTGGGTGGGCAGCTCCTCGCTCATCGGCAGCTTCTTGTAGAATTTTAGCAGATCACTTATGTCATCTGTTTAATTGATTTATAAGGAAAACAAAACTTCAATGATCCAAATGTTCTCACCAGAAACCTCTGTATTAATAAGGCCTACAAAAAACAAAATTTCTTAAACTTAAGCTAATTTTATATATCCCCTGAAATAGGTAAAACTATAGAAAAACATTTTTTTTTTTAACTCCCCGTAGATAAACCTTTAAGTTTAGGGTATTATTATATTATTATTTGATAATAATAATCATAAGAAATGTACCGATTTTAAACTGAGTTAAAGTCAATGATTTAAGTATTGATTGATGAACTCACCGCTGCACTCGAAACTGTTGCAGTTGCGTTGCTCGATGTTGTAGCCCTCGCAGAGCAACGTGGACATAGCCACGCTCTTGGTTGGTTTGCGTTTCTTGTGCTGATTGCTGGCACGTGCCTTCCTGGTGCCAGCTCCAGCTCCAGCTTCAGTTTCCTTTCCCGTTCCCGTTCCTGCTCCTGCAGTTCCTGCTCCTGCACTCATCACAAAGCTGACACTTTCATCTGTTCCTCCTCCATCTGCTTGCAGTGGTTCATTACCGCCTCTTGTTTCTCCCATGGGGATAGGTGCCGTAGCACTTGGATTCGGATTCGGATGCGAATGGACATGGACATGGACTCTGGACTGTGGCATTATCGTGGTCGTTTGGTCAAATCTATGCAATGACTCGTCGCCACTTGCTCGCATTATGAGCAGGTCGTTCTCATCCCCGTCATCGGCGAACAAATCATTATTGCCATCGCTGAAGTCGTCTGCCCCCTTGGACACGGTCAGCTCATTTGCGGCATTATCGTCCTCACTCCCTGCAACTGTATCGGCATCTGCATCTGCATCAGCCTCATTCTCGTCATCCTCGTCATCGTCCTGTAGGTTGAGGTTCATGTTCATGTTCATGTCCACCAGCGGATTGTCCAGCAGACAACGCCGGAAGCGTTGCTGCACACCCTGACCGCAGGTGACGCTGCACAAGGTGAAGTCGCTCCAGTCGTCCCAGCCTGTAATTGATTGTTTGTGCGGTGAGTTTCGAAAAACAAGGAAGGAAGGAAAAACAACCATGTTGAAACGAAAAAAAAACGAATAATTGTAGCTTTTTTTGTAATTTCTTTTCAATTTTTGTATGTAACGTATTTAAATTTACCTGACCAAATTTCATTTTATTCTTTGTCCACACCTTAAATGTCCATTATTAAATTTTAATTTAAAGCAGTTTAATATATATGTATCATATTTACATGTCGTTTTATGCAAGAATTTAAATTAAATCAAAACTTCCAAATAACTTTTATTGAGTTAATTGTTTTTTTTTAATTGAAAACTTAGTATTTAATTAACTACTATTATTTATTTTAAATTGTCAAACATTTACATATTTCATTTATATTCCTTAAAATGCACTTGAGTTCTTTTGAGTTTTAAATTTTATTAACCTATTTTATGAATATATTTATTCATTTAATTTTGTTTTGGTTTTAGTGACCTGTAAATTGTCAGCTTGCTGAACTCGAGGTCATTACTTTTCATCACTTAGTAAAAGTGTGATAAAAACTAAATAAAAACGTTTTGTTATAGCAATATTAAAACCAGCCATGACCTCGAGCTTAGCATGCAAATAAACGTGATTTTTTTAATTTAATATCCAAGTGTCTTTCCAACGCTATAAGTTCCGAACTTTTAATTAACGCTTATCCTTTTATATGGGCTAATAAGTTTCCTAATTATATTTTTTCTTGTGCATTCGGGAATCTTTTTTCTCGCTACTATGAGTCGTACAAATCACCGTGCCAAATTTTGTGCCGTCTGTTCCTCGGACTGTAGTCCTCCTTTCAGAATGGGAAGCTGCCGCCATTCAAGGCAGATCCTCCTCAGTGGGCGCCACACCGCTTGACAAAAAAGTCAAGTGTTGCTTCCCTCGAGTGGCTGTGGTGCGGATTGCCGGCTTGAGAGGATTGCCGGCTCTGCCCCACATCTGCCACATCTGCTGCATCATCGAGAAGTTTCCTTTTTTATTATGTTTTTCATTTTATTTTATTTTTTCTATTTTATATTTTCCCCTTCCCTGCGAAGGCAACTCAACGTGTCGTCGATTGCTATCAATCTTCATCAAAGATTAATCTCCCAGCTGAGCTTATACAGTCACAATAGACTGGCAAATAAACCGAACAAGTGGAGGAATTCTACGTGTTCGCCGCATTTCACTGTTGAATTACTTTAAAGCCCAAATGGAATCCGATATAAGCGGCTTTAAATAACACAGTTGCCTGCAATTATGTTGGCATATTCGAGCGGGTTGGAGTTTGGCCCTCTAGTGCCAATTACCACTGATTGGTCCATCCGAGCCCAGTCTGACCAGTGGCCTCTAGTTTGGAAACTCTATCCAGCCGCCGGGTTCATCCAATACTTGGCAAACATCCGGCCGGGGCGATTTGCTCAACAATGCAACAACTAACAAGCGCATTGCGATTAACTAGAGGATGCGGCGGAAGCCTGAATAGGTCAGTCCCGGGAAAGGCGATCAAGTGGGGACAGGATTGATGCAGTCAAAGAAAAAAATTCCAAGAACTCTAAAAAACATACCTCCGAAATGTATGTTTAAGGACTGCAAACATTTTAAGTTGAAACATAAATACTATCTAAAATTCAAAAATAATAAAAAAACATTTTTCCCAAATATTATTCATATTCATATAACATATTGTATTAAAAAAACTTTCTTTTAGCTACATTTTTCTTCGCTTAAATAAGTTAAAATATGAGCTTTTTAAAACAATCAACTTAAAAGTTAACAAAATCACCAAACATTTTAAGAGGTTAAAGACGAAACAAAGGTACAAAATTACAAAATTGTATCATATAATTATAAAAAAATTGTATGAAACTCCTTGTAAAAGGCTCATAAACGTTAAAGTAAACTACTTATTGGCTAAGTGTAGGTGCTTACCCAAATGCTTCCAGATATGATTCTCGAACTGCGGCGTCCAGCGATGCAGGCCGTTGACGCTGATTTGGAGCACATCACTGGCGCCGCCCACGGGCGGTCGTTGCAACTGGCGGGCTGCAGGACTGGAGGATGCTGAGGATGCAGAGGATGCCGAGGCGGGCAGCAGTTTGCCAAAGGCAATTAACTCCGCCGGCAGCATTTTCAGCATGTTATTATCGAAACAACGCAGTGGCTGGAGGGTGGCATTGAGCTGCCTGTGGATGGAGATAAAGTGGACAAAGTGCTGATGGCGTTGCGGGGATTACTTACCCTTCGTACTGAAAGGCTGACTCAGCGCCGCTCCATGAGCGACCGCCGCTGCTGCTGGGGGCTGCATTGTAGCCCCCCCAACTCCAGGACATGGGTCCTCCACCGGCTCGCGGGGTCAGTGGGTCCTTGGCATCGCCGCCGCCGTTGGCCACCTTCAGCAGGGAGGCGCCCTTGTATATAGTTTCCGGCGTTAATGTTATTAAAATCGTATCCTCGTGGCCCGTCAGCCCCGGCAGCTCGTCGGCAAAGACCCGTGCGGCGAGGGCCTTGACAATCACCGGGCTGCTGCGAATCAGCTCGGACATGCCCTTGTGGGCACATGGATTGGGCACCGGACTGGCTGCAGCGGAGGTCAGCAACTGCAGCATCAGGACCAGGAGCAGGGGAGGGATGGGCGGTACCCGCGAATAGATGTCATCGGGGCTCATCACGAGGGCACGGGCACCTGCATTGGACCCCGCCATTTGTCCTTTATCTCTACGAGTATCCTAGCGACACTCGCTGGTTGACATGGCAGCCTTTATCGCTGCGGTGGCTCAATTTACTTTCGGCAAAAGTCACGTTCCGGCTCTGATTCCACTGGGATCTGGCTGCCCCTCTCCAGACCAGTGGCACTTAAACAGCACCACCTGCATTCATCGCTGGCCTGCGATGAGGTAAGTACAAAAAAATAGAGTGTAATTGAGGTGGCATTGCCAAAGGACAAAAGGACAGAAAGCACTAACAGCACAAACAGCACAAAAAGGACAAAAAGGACACCCCGGACCAGAGTCTCCAATTCTATTCAAATAATAGAGTAGGGCTTTGCATGATAATAGCTGCAGGTTGCAGTTGCTACTTTCTCGGATGATTTATATAAAAAGCTATTTCGGTATCTGGACGACAATTTATTTTGGTTGCCCTGAGGACACTTATGCAGAATGTCGAATTTGTGAACAAAGGAATTTAATTTACTTCGCAAAAAGTGCAAAATATTTACTATTTTATTAAATTTGCAGGTATTTAATGCTTTCCCATGTATTTTTTTGAGTATTAAATTCTATAAAGTGTGATTGAAATTAAGCTTCTAAGAAAGTTTTTTAAAATTATTTTTGAAATGAAAGCCTTAGTTTTACATTTCAATTCAAATTAAAACTATAAATATTGTATAAATAAGCTTGTTGTAAAGAAAATGAAAAGAGTAAGGGTCTCTCGTTTCTTACTCATAAGATAAACGCTATGTGTTCGACTTATTTACTGCAATCCAGATTTATTTAAAGCTTAATAACTACACCGGGCCACCTGAATATCACCTAAAAGAAACAGTGTTTACGAGTATTTATTGTGGCTATTAAAGGTTCTCTTGGTAACAAGCAGCTTAAGGATCCAGAACAGTAGCTTTCATATCTTGGTGCAGGAAATAAATATCTGGATTAAGAATTTCTGCAGCCTGCTGGATGGCAAACAATGGCCAGCAGTGTAGCCATTGGAAGATGCAGTGCCCGCAGGAGGGAGAAAAAGTTAAATCCACAACATAAACGTGCAATCAAATAGAATTTTTACGCACATAAGCACTGCAATCACAGTTGGGCGAAACAATAAGGCAGCAGCAAAACATTTTCGGGAGATAAATGTGCGCTTCCAGTGGCGGCGGACCTAACTTTCGAATCCGGGGCGCATCCTTTTGGGCATCGCATCGTCCTCCGGTCCCAGTGCGAAATGCAAAATGTACAACACGAGCAAATATGGAACAGAGCGGAATGCAATGTGCTCAACATTGAGTCCTCAATGGCTTTATGGCCAGTTACAGTTCCATCTATCGGCTGGCCCCAAAAAAAGGACGAACGCTCCCATTTCTGCTTCCGGTCGTCTGACTGACCGACCGACCAAAAGACAGACAGGCAGGTCGTCACTCAACAGTCAACGATTTCTCCGGGGGCGGCAATCAGTGTAATTGTTATTGTTTTCTCTCCGCCTGTATTGCCCTTAATCCACTTTGTTTTGCTACCGCTGCTGCTGCTCAGTTGAACTTTTGCAAATTGGCAAAGTTACTGCCTGCGACAATCTGTTAAAAGCTTTTGAATTCCAAATAGACTTGGCCAAGGTGAGCGGCCAGGCACGTAAATCAGGCGGAAAGTCGCCGGGCTAAGCCAAATGCATATTTTATGCCCCCACCCAGCGAACTCCTAGCCACGATCTGCGGTTGGCCACTGGGGAATACTACTCGGCCATCCGTCGCCATCAAGGAAAATTAGTATTGTTTTGCTGCTTTTATGCTTTTATTGCTTGAATTTTGTCGAGTTGAGTTGTTGTTTTTGAGGAGTCTCGGGGAGAGCAAAATCGAATCGACACGCACACATCGATTTCGATTTCCCTTTGAAGGCAGCGAAAAAAAGGAAACATCAAAATACATGTTTCCGCCCACGCTGTGACACTTCAATGTAGGCGGACATTATTATGAACAAATTGAAGGCCAGCTGAAAGTCAACATGTGTGCGTACATGCACTGTGACAAATTTTACTGCGAGTAACTATGTATTTAACAAACAAATTCCAGTTAAATACATAAGTTAAAATTTCGCCAAACAGAACCCTTAGCTGATGGAACATATTTTTTGTTTGGGAATTTTGGAAATGCATAATATTCTTCAAAAACAAAACTGTAAATTTAGTTTTAATAAGTCTTGAAAATACTTTTTTTAAAGCAAATAATTTTTATGTTGATACTTTCGTGGTATTAATTTAACACTTTCTCTTATTGAGAAATGTTTCATACCCAAATTCACGTAACAATAATCTAGTTTCTATAACAATTTTTATGTATGTGTAGTTATGTTACACGATCTAAAATAATGATCTTAAAATATATGGCCCACATTCAACTTATTTTGTCCTCTGCGTGTGTTTGTGGGTGCCATTTTGGGAGCGATGCTCGAGATGATTGAATATCAAAAGGCAGTTGGCTCAGGCAAATCTCCGACATGTTTTGAGTGCTCCCCGCCTGACAACAATGTGAGCAGTGGGATGCGAGTTTAACAAGAGTGGATCCCCGAGGACTCGTAAAACTGATAGCCACCTCCACACGCGTGGGTCTACTGGGCAAGTTTAAAGGCTCAGCACGTTTGGCCAAACTTCCACAAGTGGCGGGAGTTCTTGTTTTGGTCCCTTTTTTTTGGGGTCCAGGAATTGTCCAGGGAGGGGGCGTAGAACAGAAATATTTTGTACCCAAATTATGCCTTGAATTCCGGGCACCATATCAACGTCCTAGACCCTAGAATGAATAAAATCGACTGAAGTCCCAGGCCGTTCCACACGCATACGCAATTATCCTCGGGGACAACTGTCGCCTTTTATCTGTGCGAATGATTAAGCTCGAAGTGTCTTAAAATTAATTTTATTGAGGGACGAGTCCACATCCGTCGAAACAACCGGGCGTATGCGTAATCTTCCCAGCCATTAGTAGGAGCCGCACAAATCGTACGGCTACGGCTGTTGTGCTAAAATAGTTTTATCTGCCACGCGCTATCTCGGAGGTACTTAATTCCAGCAGGTCCTAATATGTAAATCACTTGAAGCCGGAGTTCGTATTCGTGTTCGTGCTCCACTGGCTGAACTTTTGCGACGAACACGCCATTCCAGTCAAAGAATTTCACTTTGCCCTAAGCTCCTCTGTGGCTATATTAAATTCCGGTCTTATTGATTTCCTCTCTGCATTGCAATGCTTCGGCAGACAGGGCATCTGTATCCCACCTATTATTCATCTTAATCCCGTCTCAATTAACCAACAGACTAAATCGCAACAAATTGGGGCTAAATCCACTTTATAACTGAACAAATATTTACTGGGGATATATTTCAGTTTTCGGTATTTGAATTATGCAAACTCGTTTGAAACGAAAGTGAATTTATTGCCACCGCTGGCCCCGAAAAACCAAAGCCGAAAGGTTGCCGGCTCCGGATGCGGAAGGATATGGCCATGGAGCTCCGGCTCCCCGGCAAATTTATGCGCACAATTAATTTGAAAATCCGAATCTCAGTACTATATGGAATACGTCGGGGTCTGCTCGTCGAACAAAAAACAAGATAAAATATACCTGCAGTCCCGATTATCGAAGTAAGTTGACGGTTGAGATTAAGCGGATTATTTGCTAAGCGGATTATTTGCTAAGCGTATTTGCTAATTGGGCCAGCTCTGATTAGGCGTCTCTCTAAATGCGAGTCCTGGCAACTCAGGACTCAGGACCTGCGTCAGCATTTAAACGTTAACCCGCCTGACTTAAGTGGCCTCTTCCCTTTTCAGCTTGATGAGCTTTTCAAATGCGAACTTTATGGTCGAGGTCGGCCTTCACTTCCGCTCCCAGTTTCCCAGTCTCCCAGTTTCTCTACCCCCAATTGCCATGGCTTCTGGCCCTCGGTGCAAATTGTAATTATAATGCCACTTAATGGCATAAGAACGTCTCTGTTCTTGTTGTTTGGTGTTATTGTTATTGCCGCGAAAGCGGATGGGGCTGCCAGCATCCAATCTACTCCCAGAGGTCGCGAATGAGGATGTTAAAAGGCTTTAACTGGGCAACTTAGGTGCTCTCATTCAACGATTGAAGGTCCTAATCATTGCATTATCCTGGTGGATCTGCTGGTTGCCCCATTGCTCCATTATCCATTATCTATGCTAGGTTTATTTTTATTGCATCTGGAAAAGAAATTCGCTGGGCCAGAGATAACCGCAGATATTTTGCGCTGACAGAGCAAAAAGTTGCCCCATTACAAAGGGCTGCACATTAACCAATGGTATGTAAATGGCCCAAACTCCAACCGCCAACCCCATTAGCCCATTTGGCAAAGCTGGCAGACAAAAGCGACTGTCAGTTGCCAGTTACTAGTAACCAGTTGTCAGTTGCCAGTTCGAGGGTTGCCAACGGCCATTAACAATGCAATTTTGTAACAATATGAAATTGTGGCTGTGTAATGGCTCAAAGCTCGCTTGATGCGATGAGGTTGCTCAGCAATTAAGCACCATTCCCGCAACAATTCGTACACGTATGTTACAAGGCAGAGCCCCACAGAAGTGCGAGCACATGAATCAATCTCCAAAGGCGACCACAAGCCAGCTGCAAATATTTGGAGCTGGTCGGTCTGGCGCCCAGGGAAGTTTAAATTTAATATAATTAAGTGGGTAAGGCCCCTCAAAAGACAGGTAAGCCTTGGAAGCTAGCTAAAAAGATATCCCAGGCTTTTGTAGCCGTATTTGGTCATTAACAAAAACTTTTTGTATACAGAAAACAGCTTGGTTTGAGATTTAAGGAATTTTTTAATTACAACTCTTTTAAGATATAAATTACCTAGATGACTGATTATTACTTTTTCTGCTGCTTTTGAAGTATCCAATTTCGAACTGTTGTTAATTAAAACAGTGTCAAGTATAAATCAAATTTAACGTGTTATACCACAATATTTTATTTTTTCACTATTTATCTCAAATAAATCCACTAAATGCAATTTTTTAGTAAACATGTGACGTTTTTTCAACCACAAATCGACCAGCACTTATTTTAATATATAGTTTTTAACTTATCAAAGACTTGTTCGCCCGATTAATGCCAAATCACACAAGTATTTAGGCTTGTAATCTGATTGGAATGCGAATTATATTGCCAAACGCAAATTAGTTTACTTTGTGGTCGATTTTGTTGCACTAACCACCATTCGGAAACTGCATTTCATTAATGTTGTTTTATGTAAGTTAAGTTTTTTCCACTTCCGAAATGTTTGTTTATTTATTTTTGCACTCTTCACCACATTGTTTGCTAATTAAATTGTTCGAGTCCACAAGCGCACACTAATTACAGTTTTTATTGCTTAACCACAACATCGTCACACGGAGTATGGAATTTGGTGTTTGGAGTTTCGAGTTCGAAGCTCGATGCTTAAGCACGAATGGTTTTTCCCTTTTTCCCGCTTTTAGTTTTCCGGAGAAGTGCCGCGAACCAACTGACTTGGAAATGGCCAGAGCAACGGCTTTTATAGGTGGCAAGGATCTGGTCCTAAGGGCGCCTGCGCGGATAACATTTAGGAACTGCTCCCATTTCCGTTTCTCCTTCTGTGCAACACAAAGCCGGCTGTTTTGCTGGCCGTCCGTGGTCCGCTCCGCACTGCTCATTTGCCGCCCGCCCCCAATTCAGGGCGTTTGTTTACACGAGGACAGCTGAGGTCGGGACAACAAAGTTTGAAGCCATCCAAGGCACTTGGTACTGGGTACTTGGCACTTGGCTCTTGGCACGCTGCTGTCATCCCAGTGTTAAGGAGCCGCACTCATGTACATACGTATATATATATATACGTTCATGAGGCTGTGTACTCCGTGGTATTACATTGAAGTTTTAATTGAATTGCGGCTGCAAGTTTTAACTGCATTCCGTGGTGAGAATCCACTGGGCTAGGCTTGGCCCACAAAAGGTGTGAGAAAAAAGAACTTTGCCACAAACTTTTCAGCCCTCAAGTTGTTCACTTTTCATTTCTTGTGCCAGTTCGTAGCTTCTGCTCCTGTTTAGCCCTCTAAATGCAGTTAACAAATGCAGAACTCAGCCAGGATAAGTCCGCATTCAAAGTAGCTGCGCCTGCGAGTAGGCAACACCGTTTTCATTTTCGCCTTCCACTGTGTGAGTGTGCGTGTGCCAGAGAATATGTGTATGGGTGTGAGCGTGAGCGTGGAAATCTGTGTCGAACACCTGTTGTTGCCATTGTTGTTGCAGCCTTATCGCCTTCTTGGCCGTTTCGTTTATTTTGTGAGGCCATAAAAGTTTTGATTTCGCTCGGTGCTAGCCCTTCTTCATTGTTTTTCCCTAACATAAGGAGCTGAAATTTTCTCGAGAGGCTACGTACGCTTAAAGCTGTGTCAACTAAGGAAATAATGAAGTATTCTTTAAGAATTGGGCGGTTTCTTGAAATTTAAAATTGAAAGTCATTACAACATACTTTTTAAAAGCGAATCTATACATTAAGTATTTTAATTGGAAATTTCCAAAACTAAAGGACATATGATTTAATTTGAATTGGCCTCGTTTTTAAAAATAAAAAGGGTATTCGTAAGTGTTTTTTTTTGACGCATTACTCATTAAGAATGTAAACAAGGGTATTCGGAACTGCGTTACCCTTTTTCAAACATTTTTTCCTTCGCTGTTATCTGTTTTGTTGCTCATGTCGCACCATTGTGGTGCTGTCGTCCTCTTAAGCACCACCACCAGGTGTTTTGATTTATTGCGGTTTGGTTAAGTGCGGGCACAAACTTCATTTAGGTCCCCAGACCTTGGGAAAAGTTTTTGCGGAGCGGACGAGGGATTATATCCAAAGGCACGATATAGACCAGAGGTAAATATGCTTAAAAGGAGCAAGCTGTGGAAAAGCTAAAAATGATTGTTTAACATTACGGAAAATTCATTTAGCATCTTAAACAGAACATTTACAATTTAAGCAATTAATCATCTTTATCAGATCATTATAGTTTTGACAGCGGTTTATTCCATAAACTTTTAATAACATAACAATGTTATTATACCTTTATTATGTCGTTGAGTAGAATAATGAGCTTAAAGTATATAATTTGTAACATAGATTTAATTAAATTTGCAAATTTGGGAGTGGAATTTTGAAATGAGCGCAATGAAATCAGGCAGTACAGATTCAATGGCTCTCACCATGTTTTACTATGTTGAGCATTTAATTTCAGCTCAATGCAAGGGAATAACCAAACCAAACGCTGTTTGAATTCGATTCACACCCAATATGTACTGATTATTTATGCCCTTTATCGGCGAAACGGCGCCACTGCTAACCCATTTAGCCAATTTCGCACCCACTGGCCCAACTCCCGCCCACAATCGCTACATCTGCCACGCCCCACAGATCCTTTGTTCATCCGCTTCGGTTTTGGGCCCCCTCAACAGAAGCTAATTACAATTACGGCCAAAGGCCGAGGGGGGATTCAAACTCCCAGTTGGCAGTGGAGCTCCAAAACATAGCCATGCATATTTAATTCTCGTGCCCCTCACTTCTGGCCACGATTCTTTTGCCGTTGTGCAAGTGTAACTTAATTTGATGGCAGGATGGAGGACTGAGGAGGGGGGCAGTGGTAGTTCAGACGGCCAAAAACCATTTGGAACATGCACAATTTTGACACCATCCCAATCGGCCCAGTAACAAGTGCCATTCACATGGACCAGGCGATTTCATGGGAACTCAATTAATGGAGCATGATCCTAATGGGTTTCTACAATGGACCACCCATCTCGACGAGGATTTACTGGTAGATGTGGATGTGCAAGTGGACGGCGGGCAACGAGGCGTACAAACACATGCCTCACGCTAAGTGCGCCAAATCAGCAGAACTCTAATTGGAGGCGGATGCCGTTTCGTATTCGTCCTTCATAAAAAGGAAAGCTGCCGGCACAGGAAAAAAACAAAAAAAAAATCTATTTTAGACGAGGGCAAAGCCAAAGCATTCTCTTTTCCCCTTTTTCTGATTTCCTGATCTGGTGTGCGATGAATTGGCGAACGTTTGCCGAACAATTAAGTGGGCAAGCGTCAATATTCCAATGAGTTGGCCACTGTTTTATTGGCCCGCTTTGTGGCTTTGAAGTTGGCTTATGGGTTAAAGCAAGTGTGCACGCGAAAAACTGTGAACAAAACGGCATTGAATTTTTGAATAGTTTTTAATTTTATTTTCCACGACTATTATATACCCGTTACTCAGCCAACCAAATTCAAAATTAATATGCCCTCAAAAAAGCAATATGGTTTTAGGTGCCGCCAAAAATATATCTTCTAAAAATTTTTTAAAATGTGTCGATAGATATTGACCGAATAAACATATAACGCCCATTTACTGGCCTCTACTATGGCTTAGAATCAATCTGGTCCCTTATACCATTTACACTTGCAAAACGTGGCATGTTTTGGGAAACGAGTGCAATCTTGGGAATATTTAAATATTTATTCACACGAAGCGTGGGGAGAGTGTTCAATACCAATACCCCAAGCGATATTTACCTCGCCAGCCAAATGCAATCAGAGGCCATAAAGTGGGGCCCAAGGAACAGGGCTCTCGACTCCGGGCAAACGAGGCTAATATTTAAGGGGCTCGCTCGGTGCGAAGCAATTGCTTTCCGGCTGGCAGGCTTCGCTCGAGTGTTTACTGACAAATTTGTGGCCCATAGCTGCCGAGCATCTGGCAGTCGACAAAATACAATTTAAGCTTGCAACCGGCGGCAACTCCTGCGGCATGTCATGGATCCCCGCCTTTTTCCGCCACTATGCAAATGTGCTGCGTTCTGCGGAATTCTATGTGTAGGTATCTTTGTACAATAATCTTATCAACGCATTGGCTGGGATGTGGCATGTGGCATGCGATACGGCATATGGTGCAACAGGGTTAAGGGGGAGTTGGGCTGCTGAACCGCAGCCACTTCGCATATTGCGGCTGACAGGTTTATGATGGATTGCCGGCGAGGAGGTGGTTGACTCTCACTGCCTCGGTTGGATTTAAATACGAATTTGTGTTTCTGTTCCCTCGTTTTTGGCAGTTAAATGGGATTGAGTTTCAAACAAATTCGCATGTTTTCGCATGTGCTTAGAGTATATTGATACTGTTGATTTGCAAAGTAGAAAGAGATAGCAAGTATATAAGTTCTGCGAAGTAATTTTTCCGCAGCTAACTAACTCCCCAAATATGTTATATATTTGGCTTTGCAAACACTATATAGGTAACTTATCAAGTATATTAGATGTTATGGAAAGTAATTTTCCCATAGCTAGCTATTTACGAAATATATTGTATATTCGGCTTTGCAAACACGATATAGATAGCTTATTTACTCCACTGCAACTCAAGTATATGAGTTTTCCTGGAAAGTAATTTTCCGTCAGCGTACTAATTAATCCAATCGAAACGACATGCTCATGTCCTGGCTCACAATTTCTTTGTTAATCACTGAGTGCTTGGCAACAGAAGTTCAAAAATGGAGACATCTCCTTGAGGGACCTCCAGCCTCCAGATCGCTCAATTTTTGTGCTGCCGCATGCTGTTTATGTTTGGTGCTCGTTAATGAGATTTATTGCGGGGCAATGTTACAGTATTCCCCATATTAGGGACGGAGCAGCGAGACAAGCAATTTAATTTTTAATTTTCCAAATGAATGCCTTCAAATTAGGCCCGTTGTTGGGGCGATTATCGGAGGCACTGCACGTGAGCGGGCCTTAACGCGGATTGCCTCCGACAATCGGATCCCATCTATGCTATATGTTAAAGTGCCCTTTGCAGTGAGGGCTTTAAGCCGTTGTGAAATGTTAAAGCCGCATTAAAGGGACTCCGGCCGGGTTTTATCGCTTTCCGAGTGGATAAGCAGACCCCACTTTGCGGACTGGCCGCTCCCTTCACACTTGACCGATATTCAATTACCCTGCAGAACGTCCAGGGTATCGCATGCGTTTCGAGCTTGCTTGCTGGCCGGTCATTATTTGCCAACCGTTTGAGCCGTTTGAGGCACTTGCTCCTGTGACTGATGAAGCTGAAAAGCCTCCGGCCGAACACAAAAAAATCGCGTGTGAAAATTGGATTCCCCCCGCCTGGAACTCCGTCGTAACCTTCGGCGGCTGTGGTAAACGCTGCTCATTTGGCCAGATAATTTATTTTCGCATATTAATTTTGCTCCGACTCGGACAAGTCGCTGGTAAATGGGAAATTTGTGATAAATGAGCGCCGCTTAAATGCCCGGGAATTCCCTCCCCCGCACCGCCACCAGCTCAAGGAAATTATTATCCTGTAACGCCCATTAGAGTGTGTGCTTAAAGATATGCCACGTGTATGCATAGCCGAGCATATATGTACGAATACACTTAGAATATTAATTCCGAATTTTTCCTTAATTTACAATCAACTATAACAAAACTAAATAATAAATGTTAACAAACATATTATTATGTGGTACCAAAGCTTTCAGGGATAAGACAGCAAATGAAATGAATTTAAATCTTTAAATAAGAACCATGAAGTTAATAAATATTGTTAAAGGGATTTTTTTTGTGGTACCAAAAATCAGCAATGTAATTTCAATATTTAATTGAGATACTCTATTATTTAGTTGTATCACATTAAATTGGGCTCAAGCTAAACAGGCTCTTAAATTTAAGCAA